AAAACCTTTCTATTGCTCCCCAATTTCATCCTTTTCAATCGCTTCATCTCGACCAATTTATGTGATTGTTCAACACGATTTCATTTTCAGCCGCTAAGAGATTTCCTATCCTTAATGTATTTCCACGCAACCCCATTTGCCACCACCCCCACCTTCCCCACACTCGTATATTACCTTTGCCACCGCCCCCAGCCACGCCCCTTTGTCACGCCTTAATGTGCAAATTGCTACGCCTGCTAATGCATTTATCCTTGACAAGCGACAAGTAGAAAGAATACAGAATACAAATAAAAGACATTCCCCCATCCATCCAAAAAAAAAAAAATAAAGGGGAAGAGGAGAAAAAAGTGCAGGGTAGGGAAATACGGAATCAGCATCGCGAGAGCCACTTAAATATATAGTTGATATATTTTACATACACGAAATTGGTTTTTAACTGTATTCCGAGGACAGGCAGACAACCGCAGAAGGCGGCCAAAGTGGGTGGGGATTGGGCCGGGCTAACAGAGCCTCTTGAAGCGGCTGAGCAATTTCGTTTTACAACCACTCGTTGTACTTACTCCTCCTGCTTTTTTTCTTTGCTTTTCTTCTGTGAGTTGGCCCTGTTGTTGCTCTGCTCTTGCATTGCGCCATTTAATGTAAATCGTAAATTTAAAATGTCATGTAAAATGGTGGGCGGCCGGGCGAATGCGGGAAGGGGCGTGGCACCCGCCACTCGACAGCAACGGGGCCTCCACTTAAGCGAAAAAAAAAAAAAAAAAATAGAATGCCAAAAGACAAAGGCGCAAAAAAGTGCAAGGGGAGATGGCCAGGAAGCCAAGCGAAAAATGTTATTAAAAGACGTCGAGTCTGATTGTTCCAGCAGCAGGACAATGCCATAGACCAGAAGGACGTTCCAGTCACAAAATCATTTTAATAGCTACCACCTGAAATTAAGTTAAATATAAGACAGAACGAGGTTCCACTAATGCATTGATTTCATTGATTTATAAAATATAATTCAAAATGAGAAGTAGTTCTAAAGTAACTTAATTATCATTACAAGTTTCTGAATTACTTCTTACAAAAGTTTTAAAGTAATAAATAATATTTTAAACAATATCTTTCCCCCTAACAAATTACACCTTTTATCATCACAGTCATTAATTTATATCTAGGTGATTGGGGATCGCAGAACGCTTAACTACTGGGGCATGCAAAGGACGGAAGGGGGCGTGTCCCCGAGCTAAGGTTTTTTGCCTTTAATAGAATTTTTATGAACTTAAGTAAAGTCGTGTCCAAATCCCACGCAGATTACACACGCACAGACACACACACTCGGTCACATCCACAGAGATGAGAGACTTTCTGACTTACGCAACAGCAAAAAGCTTTCAAAAAGGCTAAGACCGCCCATCGGCCATTTTAGGGAGCGGGGAAAATAGGGAGAAGGAAAGGGGGGGCGGAGGGGCAAAAGTAGGAGTGGCAGGACGAGTGCGAGTGCGTAAAATGGCAGTTAATCGTGACCACGTAGCAGGACTATTAATAAAAGCGTCTTTAGACCTACATTTTGTGGACATTTCGTTGCCATTTCGACTGCACAACAATGAAGCCGCAGAAGAAGCAGAACTTTGGCGCATCATTAATTTCACGCAGTGTACAACTGTCGAGCCTCCCCTCGCACTCCCTTCTCCTAGTTTTTTTCGCCACCCCCGCCCTTTGCCACATAGACAAAAGCCATGTGCAGTTGAAAACAAAACAAAAAAAGGAAATGGCAGAAGGCAAACTTAATAACAACAAAATGGCCTTTGTGGCCTCATCTTGGGACTGGGTCACACTCACACTTACACACACACACACTCGCACACAAACAAGGCTTTTGCCAAAGGCAGCAATTTTGTAATTTATCATTGCACAAAACACACACTTCACCCATATGTTTGTCGCCGCTCTTTGTTCTTGCCAAATGAACTTTAGAGTCGAAAGGGACTCGACTTAACTATTTAAACCCGTCAATGACCCCCACAAATCAAGCTTACTTGGCGGCGAGGATTTACTGGTACAGCAGCGGAATTTTTATTAAAACGGAGTCTATTTTTTGAGAAGTAAGTCTTACAAATCCCACCGATAGGATTAAATATTGGAATTTTAAGTTTAGGACTATGTTTTAGCTAAAATCTCTTTATCTGTTTAAAATTTATTGAGGCTTAACATTGCAAAATACAGATCTAAAAAACTTATTGCCAAATAAGTCCACCAACCCATTTACGGGTTAATGAGCAGCTAAAACGAGCTAACAATCATTCAAAACCAGTATACAAATCGCCGGCAGCCTTAGACCGAAAATAGAAGCACAGAAAACCCAAAAAAACAAACACGGAATCGCTTTCAAATTAAATAAATAACCAAACTGAAAATGAACAAGCCACCCTGCTGCGGTTTTCCACGCCCCCTCGAATCCCCCTTTTCCACCACATAGATACAAAGATACATAGATACATGTTCGGCTAAGCCCCTTTGGCACATCAAAGTCATTCGCACATCGACCGCGCCCCTTTAAAACTCTAATTGACGTGCTTTTGGTCAAATGTAGCAATTCCCTGCTTTTGGTGTATATATTTTTTCCTGTCACGCCGTCGGACACGGCGACACACGAGTGCATTTCAAGGGTGTTTACGTGTAAGGGGAACACTGTAAAAAAATTATAAACAAATTTAAAAAATATTACTACACCTTCCACTAGCAAAAATTAAGGTTTAAGTCATGCAGTTTGAGTTTTACCTTAACAAAGAGAGTATTTTATTTTAAAGGTAAGCATTTCCTTTGATTTGTAAAATCATTTTTGTTTTATAATCTCGATTGCAATTACATTTGTTTTCGGTTTGGGATTGTGTGCACCAGTGTGTATTGGATAGTTGGTTGGCCAAACCTAGCATCGCACGTGCTTCTCCCTCTTGCCACTTTGCCATTTGGCCATTTGGCCATTTGCTACTGAATCTTGGCCTGACCAAAACCGTTCGTCGTTGGCTGTTGGCTGTTGGCTTGAATGCATTCCGCGCTGCGTTTCCTTTGCGGCAGTTTAGTTTATGGTTTTGATTTCCGTGGCGCAGCTCGTTTCTTAATTAGCTGCCAGGGTCATTTCACTCTCGGTTTCCCTTCCTCTTCTTCTTCCACTCCTCCATCTTCTTCTTCTTCTTCTGGCCGTTGTGTAATTGACCGTGTAAACTGGGCTTAAGTCACTTAACAGTCGCTTAACACATGCAGCTGAAGGGATGGCACCGAAAACTGAAAAAAAGGATCTGCTTTTGACCCGAAAGTCTTTTCGATGCCTTTTTTTTTTGAGTTGGTGGGGTGAAGGGACGTGGGTGCGGGTTGGTTGGGCAATTTGCATATTGTTTTGTGCTTTGCTGAACTTTAGCTTGTGCCCGAAAATGTGTTGCATACTTTGCGGCTTTATGCAAATACCATCACAGTGGTCACTGACAAATAGGGGATACAAAAGTTGAATTACAAAGGTAATCCGGTATAACTGTTGCCAAATCTGCTTAATGTTATTCAAATTCGGTTGGTTTTATTAAAATTGAATTTCTGACAGAAGTAATTGTGGAGTTTAAAAGTTAATAAGGTTAAATTGCAATAAATCATGCAGCTGAACTTTTTCGCTTAAAACTTTCAGACGCTCTTACTCTTTCTGCTTATTAAGTTTGCTGCACAAATGACACACTTACGGAAATATGTGATATTTTTTTAATATTTAACTAGGCTTCCTCTGCTCGGTTGAGTAAGTTGCATTCACATCTGACCTCCACTGTAGTTGAGTTTTCATAGAGAACAGGACCCGGGACAAGTTTGCCGCTCTGCATGGCAAACAAATAGAAATTAACATGACATACTTCGCCCGGTTCGCAGATTCTCAGCTCAGCTGGTGTCGGGAGTGGATTTCGGTCCCACAAAAGCCGTTCCTTCTCCTCCTGCTGCTGCTGCTCCTGATGATGATGGAGATGGTGCCACAGATGGAGGAGGAGGGCGACCAGCTCCTTTCCGAGCTACGCATGTGACGCAGCAGCAACAACAAGAACAATAATAACAACAACAACAATAAGGAGAGCGACAAACATGCACAGCGGGGCACGGCCCGTAGAAAATATGAAAAATGTAAAACAAAAATCTGGCAAAAACTTTTCTAATTTAAAACTGCCAACAAAAAAAAAAGAGAATGCCAAAAATAAAATAAAGTACGGCAAGGAAGCTGAGGAAAACGACATTAAGATAGAGGGTTGCCAGGCAGGAAGGAAACCTTAAGCAAATCTTAATAATATCTGGATCAAACTTCAGCTTACAAAGGGTATATAAGAATCTAATATGGATACAGTGCTATATACTCAATTCAAATCATTATGACAAAAGTAAAAACAATGCTTAAGTAGCTAATTTGCTTAAGAAGTAACAAATACAAACAATCGAACTAATTATTATTAAAACACTGCAAACTTATTTTATTTTATAAAGAAAAAACTTTGTTTTGGTAATTCTAGGGAGTTCTTTGCTTCGTTAGAGGCACTCCAAAAATGCCACCGTTTTTTTTTCTGGTTATTTTCATCATCAACACGCTTTATAGAATGTTAACCCTCCCCCTGCCAGTCAAAGTGCTTGGCAAATTATGTCTGTTGACAGTGCCGAAGTGAAAGTCCTTTGCTTTTGCCAGCAGAACCTGCACATGTTGATGAATGCGAGGCCAAGAGATTTCAACTTTCTAATTTAATGCGACAGTGCGACAAGTAAAGCGACGGCGGCACAGACAAAGACAAAGGAGCAGCCGAGTGCGGAGACAAATAAATGATACTGCAAATTATTTAGGCAGCCAACGTGGCGTATGCGCAATGTCTGTTTGACACAGCAAATGCGAAGTTCTTACCATATTGTTGGCGCTCGACAAGAAATCGTTTTATTTCCACCGAAACTTTCATGAAAAGTCATCTCCTAATTGAAAATTAACAGCGACTGAGCAGATGTCATTGTGGTTTGGTTTGATAGCAACTGGCAAATGCTTCTCACAAATGCTTATCTCAATTTATTAAACTTGTATTCATATTTAAATCGGGTCTTTCCCATTTCAAATTGAATTTTTTATTTAGTTTCGTTTTTTTTATAGCTAATTCGGTTTTACAGTATTGCAGGGTGATAAACACTTAAACATAAATCGTATTCCCAGTACGCCCAGGAAACAACTGATTTGATTGCGATCCATAAAAACAGTTCCTCGACTCGGAAGCATTGTTAACTCAGACGGGAAGACCTCGGGACCCCAATTAGGTTAGGACTTGACGGACAATGTCCGGCGGCAGCATGAAATTGTTTTTGCGCAGCGGAATCTCGCTCAGCTGGCGGTCGATGGGCGACCGGGTGTCATATAGAGAAGGCGACTGGCATATAATGGCCAGCGTTCCGAAGACACAGGATAACGTGAAGAGCCAGAGGAAGAAGCGGTCCAGCACCATCGATACGAACTTCCAGTCCTCCACAATCTGCGGCGATGAAACAATAAAAAATAGATTTTTAATATCATTCGTCGAAACGTTTTTGCGGCTGAACGAAATTGGTTTTATTCGGTTTTTTTCTCGAGGCCTAATAAAATATGGCCCCTGCGGCTGGCTACCAATAAACTTGAATCGCAATAAAAATATAAAGTTATGATTTAATATTTTACAATTGTTTGCTGCACATTTGGGACTTGGCTCCGTTCAATGCATTCAACTCGAACTTAAGGGCAATAAACAATAATCAAAAAAACTCAAGAGTGGTGGGGCAAAAGAATCCCACTTCAGACGCCGAAAATATGGCAAGTAAACAATAACAACGGCAAGGACTCCTCGTCTTCGAGGAGGACACGCGTCAATAAAAATGGGCAACAAAAATAAGCACGGCCACGGAAGATGGCGGCGGAGTTGAGGAGCCTGTGTACCCACCTCGTTATCCTTGTCGGCATCCTTGATATGCTGCGCAATAAATCTGACCGCTCGCAGCGCCTGCAGCACTTCGGGTGTTAAGTTGCGCGGTATCACATTGTCGGAATCTGTCAAGTTTCCGCCATCAAATCGCAAAAAATTGAAATAAAATATTGGAATAATAAATAAATGCGGGAATCAAGCAAATCCCTCCCTTTGGGCACGTGTAACTGTGTGTGTGTGTGTCTGTGTGTGTGTTTCGTGTGTGTGCATCTAGGCTTTTATGTGCTCGTATGGGTGGACAAATATTTTGGCCCTCGCCAGGACCCAAATTAACGCCTCAGGGCATTGGGCTTTCAGTTAACGAAGATGCTGAATTATGCCGTCAAAAATATTTACGGATGAAGCTGCATGCACAAATATAATAGATTCTCTTTAAGGTATAGTCCAAAATTTAATGACATGTTTGTATTAACCTTAGATACAATAGCCAACCCATTAACTTATTTATATTTTGCAGACCTAAAATTATTTTTATTTTAATAATAAAAACTAGTGGAATGCCATGAGGAATATTAAGAAAAACGTTTCCTTATTTTTGGAAAACCAATCACTAATAAATTATCGTTTAAAATTGATGTACAGATAAATCTGCTTTTAATTTAATCCACTTATATCTCAGATATACGTCATGTCTCTCTAAATTAAATACACTCTCAAATTTCAATAAAATTTGTTATATCCCACCAGCGCTTTTCATTGCGCTTGGTTTGTTTTGAGCTCCTAAATAAAATTCAAAATACCACAGGGACGTAGAATCAAAAATGTGTGGGTTCAACAATGCGAACCCTGGTTCTCCGAATTCCCTGACCACGGCCGTGTTTCATTTTGAATCGCATAGGCCTTGTTTGTCATCAAATCGCCGCATCAGCTCATGGCATTCGCCATTTTATTGCATTATTTGCCCTGCTGTTATTTTTGCCCGCTTGTGTGCGTTATATTTGATTTCAATTTGGTGCCGGCAGGCATGCAAAATATTTGTGTGTTTTATGGTTAGATATCGCGCACTCACCCACAGAGTTCTGCATGCCATTATCGTAAGCGCCGTCCTGACTATCCTTAAACTCGCTGGGAAAATCGCTGATGCTGTCACTGGATTGAGGGGGGAAAACCGCAACACAAACAGCCGGGGTCCAAAGTCAAGTGTTTGCTTTCAATTTCGCGAGATGCCACTTACCGCACATCGATCTCGTTGGTGTATCCGTTGCTCGGCGTGGAGTCGTCGTAATCGGGAAGGGTATATTGCGTCCGGCGCATCATCATCAGCTTGGGCATGAAGTGCAGGAAGAGTTTCCGCACCAGCGGCGACATGTTGTGCGTCGAGGGGGATCTGTGCCGGGGGCAATTGACACGTGTTTTAACCCCCACTCAGAAAAACAAATCACCAACTTCTGATATAATCCGCCATAACTTGAAAAGCTTAACATTTGTTGATGGAAACTTTGTTTAAAAAAACTTTGAAGTCGATTTAATTCTTTCAGTCAAATTCGTATTGTTTTAATCCAATCTTCTTCGTCAGCTCCAATATAACTTTTTTTTTTTTTTTTTTAATTAATAGATTATAATTTAAAATCTTCAATTTATTTAAAAAAGTGTACTTAAATGTTACAGGATTTGTCGAAAAGAATACTGACTGACTTTTTAAAAGTCAAGATTTTTCTACTTACAAATATTTCTAGAATTCACAAAAATTACATTTTTGATATCTATTTTAATATACATATTTTTCTTATGGCGGTTTTCAGATATACAAGGCGATTGTGTTTCTGAGTGTACCTCCTATTCGGGACTCACCTGAAGTGGATGTTCAGGACGCAGACGGTTGTCCAGACGGACAGCGAGACGAGTATCATGGTAAAGAGCAGATACTTGCCCAACAGAGGCACCGCCAACGAGGTTGGCGGAATAATTTCGGCCAAGAGCAGGAAAAACACGGTCAACGACACGAGTATTGAAATACATAACGTAACCTGTCAACGAAATGTTTACACAATTTCATCCTTTCGATATCCCTCGGCTTTCAGCATTCGGAGGCCACTCGATCCGACAGAAACACGAGCCATCAAACAATCAAACCAACAATCAACCAACAACGACAATCAACACAGAACAACAACCAAATTAAAACACAATCATTATAATTTGTTTGGTTAATTCAGCCAATTACTCGTAATAATAACAACATTGTCTGCAGCAAGAAAGTTTTCATGAGTTTTTCGTACTTGCTGCAGCTCAAAACTTAAAAACGAAATAATTTAAATAATTGTTTGCAACTTTGATCAATTCGTAAACGATTTGTTTCAAACCAACGAAAGAATACGTACTTAAGGACTGCATCGCGTATACTGTGACCAAGCTAAGGACCCACAACTAACACACTTGCGAACACACAATCTATAGGATAACCTGAACCCACCAACATCAATCAATCATACGAACTTTACACGAAAACAATCAACACAAAACAAAAAAAAAAAAGGAAATAGCAACAAAGCGCATTTTACTACGTTTACATGTGAACTTTTTGCGTACGTGTGTGGCTGTCGATAAAAAAGATTCGAGAAGTCTGTAGCACTTATGTATCTCTTGTGGGGGAAGTTTTTAAGTAGTTCAGCCCTAGTTATTGACATGGAAAGTGCTTCCATGAATCACTTGATAGCCAAACACAAATAAAAGCAACATTAATTCCAGTCTGTTCTGTGTCAAGTTAACGATTAAGGTTTTTTTGGCAGCTTATCTATTAAATATATTACTTCATGGATAGACTGCGGTTTGAGTTACAAAATTATTTCAAGACTTTTTAAATTCTTCAAAGCTTAAACAGTTTTTAAGATTTTTACAACATCCTTAATAAACAAGTATTATAATCTCCTATGTTCCAAACTTTTACCGTAACACAAAACATTCATTATAAACCTTTCAAATGTTATCCAACCCTTGGGATCTCAATACAAGGACTTTACCTCAGCGTACATGCTATATAGAATGCCAACATATGTTTTAGTATGATTGAGTTGATATCGGGTATATATATCAGTATCGGTGGCGAAGCATTTACCTTTACTTGAGCAAACGAGCGATAAGAATGAACAAACAAACACTAAGGCAACGACAAAAGGATTATAACAACAAACTGCACGAGTCCAGTACGTGTGTATGTGTGTGTGTGGATCTGTGATTGTGTGTGGGTGTAGGTGTGCCTGTGCCGAATGCAGGTGTCCTTTGAGTATGTGTGTCATTGAGTGGGTGTGTGAGTGCGCTGCTCAATTACAAGATACGCGACATGGAAGAATTTTGGGAGTGGCTTTTGGACATTTTAAATTCGATTCGATTTGGTTCGATGTTGATATCGACTGCGTATTGGTATGCATTCGATGAAAATTTACGTTATGAGATTTCTCTACTCAGGACAGCACAAATGATATTCAACGCAAAATGGGATTTTCGGGATATATTTGTATATGGTACGTCAATATATGTGTGCTGCTTTCATAAATTCTGAGAGGGTCGCTGCTGCGGAGCTGATATATTGATAGATAGATAGAATAAGCTTAATATCATTATGATATATCTATTATTTAAAAAAGGGATCATAAAATAGAGAAAGTTAAAGAGTGGATAGAGCAGGAAATTCAAGTTGAGCTCTTCTCAGAAAGAATTTGAGTTTCTAATATTCGTTTTTGAACATTTTTGTAAGCCAATTTACAGTTTTTGTGTACGGAGAGCTCATCTTTAGGATAGCAGACTTGAAATATAGTATTAGGGAGTGATAGTTAAAGTAATTGAAAGGAGTACGAGTTGTGCATATGAGTAGATAGATTATAAAGGAACAGGTATATTGTAGAGGTTTTGTTTTTCGTAGTGTTGATAAGAAATAGTTTAGTAAATAAAATAACAAACGAATTTTACTAAAAATTTTTACCTTGGATTTTAAAATTATTTTGAAAGGGGTATAACGTAAAAGTCAACAAGTAGGTTGAGGACGAAACAAAACATGTATACAAAGGGGTTGCAGTTCTAATTTTCAGTACCAGAAAACTACTACTGTTTAATTATCATAAATACCATGCATCATGCAAAAGAAATGTACGTTATAGTTTTCACTTCAAGTCTTCGTAAACTCTTGAGTGATTTCCTCGTTGTTACCTTTTCGCCGGAATCGCTTGGCAAATAAAACACCAACACCGTGAGGAAAGTTAAAGCCACACATGGCACAATTAAATTAACCGTGTAGAACAAAGTCTTTCGCCGCATGGTCAACTTGAATGTTATATCTATCGAAAGATAAAATTTTTTACAATAATTGTTAGTAAGAAACCTTATGTAAACTCACCTGAAAACGGTTCCAAAGTGTCGGGATAGTATTCTTCATTCTTGGTAGCTGGTACCTCAAGTATGTCCCATTCCACAGACAAATAAAACTCGGTTAAGTCTATGCCCACTTGGACAAGATTACTGCCAGGAACCTAAAATGATTATTGGTAAATTAATTTATTTTCAAGTATGTTAGGAATAAAACAATCCCACCTGATCCAAATGTTTTAGATCCACTTGGGCTCCATTATAGGTCCATGAACCGAACTTCATAAAGCAAATTTGCTCGTCGTAGGGGAAGTACTCCACGTTCATTTCACAGGATGACTTGTAAATAGCCGGTGGTTCCCAAAATACTTCGCCTGTGTACTTCAGAGTGGCTTTAGTCATTAGAGTTACCTAAAAATTGGAATTTTTAAGTAGGTATAATGTAAATAATTAATCTCAGACCAACCTCATAGTTTCCATCCCAATTGTTGTAAAGCACAATGTCGGGCACCCAAATATGTTCAGAGGGTACGTAGAGTTGTTCAACTCCACCATATTCCTCCGGATCCCAACGTAACTTGTAGTCGAACCAGCGCTGTAAAAAAATATTTTAATATTATAGTATTTTTAAATATATTATATGGCATTGTGATAACTACCTGTTTCACCCACAGATTGGTGGTCATCACCTGGTTCTTCAAGTTGACCTCAATCAGCTGAGACAATTTCAGACCAAGCCAAACCGTAAGGGTCTCCGTGTTGTTCACAACGGGTCTAATCAACCGATTGTAGTTGCTCAACAAATCATCATAGAGACGTTTGGTGTCCGGATTTGCCTCAAAACTTATTGGAGCTGTTGGAGGAGAAGAGGAAATTTGAGAGATCTATGCCAAGTTAATATCCCAAACAAACGGAAAATTTCCCAAAACAAACTTCAGCGCAGGCGCCGCTCTCGCTCTCTTTTTGGGCGCAGCATCCTGACAGCTGTCAAATACGTAGGATACAGCATCAGGGTATCGGAATTTTCACAGATTTTTCCTGGGCTGGTGCACAATTTTCCTCAGCTTACCCGTGGAGTTTGCCAACGGAACCAGCAGAAAAACACACAACAAACTCCAATGCCACATTTTGTTGGTGCTTTCTCTGTTTTTTTTGTGCAATTAATTGCTATAAGTTTGAGTTTTTTAACAAAACTTAAAGCATTTTGCTTGGACTTTTCCTTTGAACACAACCTCACGGTCGGAGAGTTTAATCGCAACTGAGTTGTGCCTTTTGACAGATGCTACAGCAGAGATGCTCGATGGTAATAGGAAAATGTATCTGACGGAATCCTCAAAATTATTGTTCCTCACGCGCTTTTTTAAGTTAAGGGAAAATAAACAAAAGTTACGTAGATATATTAAAAGACAAAATTGTATTTATTTCCAAGCAAGAAACTTATAAAAAGCCACCTTTTAACACTTGATTTAAAATTTATGTTTATAAATTTAGAAATTATAAATAATTTTTTTAAATTAATAAGTAGTATTTATAAATTCCTTTTGTATCACACAAAGTGTTATACAACCCCATAAATTTCCTACCAAAGGGTATCCACCCTTAATAAGCCAAGTTCCCAACCACAAACTAGAAGGACTTTTGATTTTGAGCCCGTTGTCTTGACAATCAAGTTTCTTTGACAACGAGCAACCGAAAACAGAAGAGGGTAAAGAAAAACCAGTAGTAACTGAACTTTGGCAAAGAATAGAAGCAAAACAAAGAAGGCGAAGAAGAAGTAAACAAACTTTCGATTTTAATTCGTTTGTGGGTGATTCACAAATATGGGCTTCAAGGGCAGATATCCGCAGATGGTCCGAGAAACGGGCTTTAAGTTGCGACAGTATCGCGATGGCCCACTGGATTGGAGACTGATGGGTAAGGTCTTAACGAATAAAATAATTTTGATAAGTTCTTAGAAACTTTTTTGCATAGGTTCCTACGAAACAGAGAGGATACTTAGGGAGCAGAACTTCGAGCTGGTGGACAAAGCGTTACCACATCTTTCGGAGGCTCCTTTGGGAACTGTCTTGGAAACTCACATTCTGGACAGTGGCATTGCCAAGTACTTTGTTATGTCCCAATATGCCATTCAGTATCTGCTTTGCTGTCGAACTTACCTTGACGAATGTGTCACCGATTTAAAAGAGGCTCATTCGACAGCACAGGAAGAGATTGCCACACTCCGGAAATCCCTGAGTGAATCAAACAACGAGGTGGTTCAGCTGCACAAGAGGATCACTCAGATTGAAGCCATTCGCGAAGTGGTTTACCCTTGTCATCTGTGTCCCAAGAATTTCATCAGCAACGAAGCCTTGAATGTGCATATTGGACGTAAGCATCGTGTAGGCACTCCGCCCAGTCTCAATTCCGCCACGGGAAAGGAAAAGGATAGAGACAAGGATACGGATGTGCATTTGATCAATACAATCAAAATGGAGCTGGAGATCAAGCAACTGAAGGAGCGTCTAAATGCCGCTGAGCGAAACATCAAGGAGCGTAGCACTGGATCGAAGAGGGTGAGTCCTCGGCAGGAACAACGCACAGTAGGCATTCAGAGCAATCTGGCAGAGCCAAAGGAAAAGGACGAAATAAGTAGCGAGGCGCAACGAAGCGAAGCTAGCGAAAGAAAGGAGCAGCTCACAGGATTGGCTGAGCGACTAAGCAACTTCGAGGAATGGCAAATGCAGCTTAAGCAGAGCAATGAACAGTTTATAAAGGTAAGATGGAGTACTTTTAAAAATAATACCTTTTTTATACCTATACCTTTTTATGTGGAACCTTTTAGGATATAAATAAGAGGCTAGAAGGTCTTAGCCACGCTCTTGAGCAGAGCAAACAGGCCTCTACAACCACGCCTCCGCTCGAAGATCGGGTAGCTACACCCTGTCTGGAGGACCTAGAGCGTATTCTAACCGAAAAGGTGGCGGAAATTGGCAAGATCAGTGCTAACAAATTAGAGGAGGTGGTCTTCCACCTTGAACTGGGCTACAAGGAGAAATTGGAAGCCTTGGAGAGAGAGCTAAAGCAGTTAACTGTACGAAAGGAGCAACCGGAGCAACCAGTTCAAACTTTGCCAGCTGCATCAAAAATACCAAAGCCAGTTACCCGTAAAGAAGAAACCAGCACAGATCGCATCCGGAAGCAAGTGGAGAGCGAGTTCATTAAAAAGAAACAGGACGACGACACCTATTCCATTGAGGAGGCGCCTCGGAAAAGCCCGGAGAAACCCATCACCCAACTGGTGACCCATGTTCAAGTTCATGAGAAGGAGCAGCCAAGTGCTGGTAGTTCGGGCAGCAATCCAACATATACGAAATCCCCCAGGGAACCGGTTTCTCACAAGCCGGAAACCAGGGAAACTACAGACATCAGCGAGAGCCTGAGTCAGGAGCATATCGAGGATGCCCAGGATCAAAGTTTAACGGAGGAAGAGGAGTCAATCTCTGAATCTGATGCGCCCAGGGAATCTACAAAGCCAAAAACAATTAAGCCTCCTGCGAGGTCAATTAGGTGAGTGTGCTTACCTTAAATTTATTTTAACATTAACAAAATGTATTCGAATTTTGTAGATCTCCTCAAAAGCCACTTACCCGTAAAGATGCCCGGAAAATGGTAAACAGGAAGTTAATGCCCTACGGTTTTGATATGAAATCCAAAGGTATTTCCCATACCTCCCTAAAAAGAGTTAACTCCGAGTTGTCCGATCACCGCAACAAACTAAAATTGGTGAGCTTTTAAGTCCCTAAAACCAAACATAAATATTTAATGATTTAAATTCACTTCAGCAACACCCACATTTCTATGCCACACGAAATCGAATACGGAAGTTCGTGGAGAAACTCTGTTCCGCCAAATTCTCTGATCGTGCTGAAGTGCTTCTGAAGCACAAAAGTCCGCTGAAACCGATGGAAGTCCCCAAGAAAAGAGTTCAAAGGTCGGTTACTTCGGAGAAATCTGAGGAGGATATAGTTACTTCCCAGGACGAAGAGCAGGAGGAAGAGCAGTCGGTGAGCAGCGAGCAGCAGTCTCGAAGTTCAAGTCCTCAACGGCCAATTGATCGCGATTTTAAGGCCAGACTGGAGGAGATTCTGGTTAAGCCAGCGGCTACAGTGCGAGGAGCTTCCAAAACGGTCTTTAACCCCAGGCCAGTTCCTTTGCCGAGGAAACGGGTCATGTTTAACACCTTGAACAGTGGGAAGAGTTTCAATGACAGCGATGATAACTTTAAATGAGGTTAAACAATAAACATGAAAAATTATATGAATTTGTTTCGCCATTACCTCTAAATACGTATTGTTTAGACTCGTCAAAAGTTTTTATTGGAATTCCTAAAGAGAATATTTTAAATAGTTAGGTTAGAAATAACGGTTACAACGTTTCTTCGGTCACACTAGTTGCAGCCGATGTTTTTGAATATCGATACGCTATCGCCTCGCTCATTGTAAACAATCGACGTCACTAACGCAGGAGAAAATTTTTTAGTACGTCGCGAGTATAAGGTACAATAAATGCAATAAAAGGGCAGCTGGCGAGGATTGGAACGCTTGAAAGCAGTCAACCGCAAAGGGGCCAGCATCCGAGGCAGTGAATCCGTGGACTTGCGATTACGGCGAACCAAAGGTGGACAAACCAAGTTTTCATCCGCACACGGACACGGCGTAGACACACACAGGCGCACGCAGCCCGTGCCCATCGATGAAATAACATACATAACGAACGTATACCGAAAATACACAAGTTACGGGAAACACGAGTGTCGCAAATCGACGGATAAGCGTAATACGGAGAGCGGATCGTCCGGGCCACAAAGATGTCGGACATTATGAACATCGACAGCATTATCTCGCGTCTGCTAGAGGGTAAGTGATCCCCCGCTTTTCCGAATCGTTTCACCTGTTCTGTTCCACCACCCACTATCTTATCAGCTTTTAATCCCCGACTCCTTCCCCTTCCTCCCTCTTACAGTGCGCGGTGCCCGTCCGGGAAAGAATGTGCAGCTATCAGAAAGCGAGATTCGCAGCCTGTGCCTCAAGTCCCGCGAGATATTTCTGTCGCAGCCCATCCTCCTGGAGTTGGAGGCGCCGCTGAAAATCTGCGGTGACATACACGGACAATACTATGACCTCTTGCGGCTGTTCGAGTACGGCGGCTTTCCGCCGGAGTCGAACTACCTGTTCCTGGGCGACTACGTCGATCGCGGCAAGCAGTCCCTGGAAACGATATGCCTGCTGCTGGCCTACAAGATCAAGTACTCGGAGAACTTTTTCTTGCTGCGCGGCAACCACGAGTGCGCCAGCATCAACAGGATTTACGGGTGAGCAAGTGGTTTCCAGGGAAAAAGTCTACCTAAAGTCGATTACGAATTTATTTATTGGAAATTCTAAATCTTAAATCAGTAAGTTTTGAACTTCGCTCAGAGCTGAGTTTACTTTTCTGTTTGGTTACAGAACATGAGATTTGAATATTCTCAGTTTCAATAAACAATAACACTAATTTGTTATGTTTACAACTAGAAATAAAAAACTACTATGAAATATATTTCCCGTCCCACATAAGTAAAACAAATGCCACGTTCTATGGCAATAATCCATATTATTACTCAACTAATTGCGCTTAATTGACAGGTTCTATGACGAATGCAAGCGTCGCTACACCATCAAGCTGTGGAAAACGTTCACGGACTGCTTCAACTGCCTGCCGGTGGCCGCCATCGTAGATGAGAAGATTTTCTGCTGCCACGGCGGCCTGAGTCCAGATCTGTCCTCCATGGAGCAGATCAGACGCATCATGCGTCCCACAGACGTGCCCGATCAGGGCTTGCTGTGCGATCTGCTGTGGTCCGATCCGGATAAAGACACCATGGGGTGGGGCGAGAACGATCGCGGTGTAAGCTTCACATTCGGAGCTGAGGTGGGTCTTTGAAGTTGCATTTAATACCCCCGAACCGCTAACGAATTCTCTCTTTCAGGTTGTGGGTAAATTTTTACAGAAGCACGAATTTGACCTGATCTGTCGGGCCCATCAGGTGGTAGAGGATGGCTACGAGTTTTTCGCCAAACGTCAGTTGGTGACGCTCTTCTCGGCGCCCAACTATTGCGGGGAGTTTGACAATGCGGGTGAGTGATGAGTGATGATCAGCTGCGGACTTTAGTCGGAGATAAACCTTGTTTATTTGGAGAATGCCCAAAGACCCTTGGAATCGTTGATCAGTGCGATAACCGGCCGGCAAATAAAAGCTGCCAGCCCGGTTGCATTTCCATGCGGGAAATGCGCATTTAAAAATAATCAATAATCAATACCGGGAATAGAGCAGCCCATAAATGTCACTCCCTTCCCTAGAAGTGATTAATCATTATCGATTTCGCTTGCAGGTGCCATGATGTCCGTGGACGACACATTGATGTGCTCCTTCCAGATATTGAAACCCGCCGACAAGCGACGATTCGTTTATCCCAACTTTGGCAGCTCAGGACGTCCTTTGACACCGCCACGCGGAGCCAACAATAAAAACAAGAAAAAATAAACGCTGCACACCTCAAACAATGCACAACAACAGCAACTACAAACGGCCACACACCCACACAAAAATAGGGAAAATGGAAAGGAGAATCCGTGTCCACATCCGACGGAAAGCGCAGAAAGTTTGTTTTTATCGAATACGTGTAATCGAATCGTGAGCAACGTTATATGGGGTATATGAATCTTTACAAATTAGCCTATTTTTCATTTGAAAAAAGAAAAAAAAATCAAGAAACGGAAAACGAAATGAAATGAAATCAACAAAAACAAAACACAAATCGAGACACTTTAGTTCAAACTAATGGTAGTGTAAGACACTGCATAAGCAAGAATATTTTATCTCCTAATGTATTAATTTTGTTATAGTTTTTCCTTGCGCAAAGCCCACACAAATACACACACACATGCTTAGATCGACCGTACAGTAGGTACGAACAGTGCACGCACCGGTTGTATTTTTATTTGCATTTTTATCTCGCACAGCATTTTATTTAAGCCTTCTTCGGCGGCACTTTAAAAAGTCTTTGGCAATGGTCTAAAACCGCTCCTCTGTTCTTCCTCTTTATTTGCGTGTCTAAAAGAATATTAGCAAATGGTAAAAATGTTAACTTTTACGTTAATTAAACTGTACGAGAATGCTTTTAAATGTGTGTTGAGCTAACTACATATTACATATGTATTCGAAGCACGATTTATTTTTGTAATATTGTCTTAGAAATTTTACATCGATACATGTTTACTTAGTTTTAAAGTGAGGAAAGCAATTTTAGTTGCAAGCTACATAAGTTTGAATTGTTTACACCAAAAATATTAAAATAAACAAATATTGTGTATATTTTTTTAACTGTTTGCGTTACACACACACACACACACAGCCCATATATAAAACACGCACACACCTTTGAAAACCCAAGAAAAAAAACCTGAGCAAATTTGTTTATTTACAAATTATTATACCTTAAATAAGGCGAATGCTTTTGAGCGGCACTGTGTGCTCTCTGCTGATGTCAGCGACAAGGCAGATTATGTTACCCCTCTGAATGCCCCCCACTCCAAAGAAAAGCAGAACCAGACCCATTAAATGCATGCGAAATTTACACAGGAGAAAAATCGAAACAAAAATATACAAGTAATAAAATATTTGTAAGCAGCGCAAAAAAAAAACACAAACAGACACGGTTATTGTACATGTACTTGTATACTTTGTGTATTTTGCATTCTACGACTACTGTCGTCGGTACATTCTAGTGCTAAAGGCCGCCACATTTAATTACAAGTATTATGCCCAGGCAGGCAGCGATCCGGAGCGATTCAGCCTGACGCAACTTACCCAAAATGGTTTCGTTTGTATAATCCCCGCCCGACAACCAACCAACCTACTAACAATCGCGTAACCTACGGAAAACAAAAGCAAAAAAATATGAGTCCTCGTCTATTTCACACTCTAGTACTCTGTTCAATGTTGTAATGAATTCAACGTATATTTACGACTATATATGGTACTTGTAATATCGCGATCCAGTACGACATCGGCTGTTTTCAAGACCCCCACACAAGTCATAAGAAATTTATAACGTAATATCGTAAAAACAAAAAAAAAATTAATTAGAAAAGACAAGGGGAAAGAAAATAATGCATTGAAAGCGCAAATTGCAAAACATAAAAATTATTTAAAAAAGAGATAAAAAAAGAAACAAAAAAAATAAAAATTAAACAAAAAGAACACAATGACGAAGCACTTGTAACAAAATAGCACTGTTTTATTAAAAGAAAAATGAAATACATACTAGCAATAAAAATGAAATTGAAGTTGTGGTTTTACTTGAAAATAACATTTGATGATAAATGGTATAGTCAGGGTTTTTTAATTTAATATGGCATCTAAAATCCGTAAAATATTTTTATAGCTTTAATTTTAGTTGCAAAAATGTATAATTTCTAATACTATTTTGTTATTATAATAATTTATTTTAATTGTATCTAAGGGCACAACTCTTCCCAAGCGGAGCACACATGGCGCCTGTGCCCCTGCCACGCCTCTCATCCTCTTGGAGGCTCAACTGCAGCAACTTTTGCCGAAGGGCATAGGGCGTGGTACTCTTTGCTGCGCCATCCTGCTGCCTGCTCTCGTTAGCCCGATCCTTGTTCCACTTGTCCGTATGGCTGGAATTAAGCTTATCATAGGCTTGTTGCAGGCGCAACTCATCCTGGCGAACATCACTGAAACAATCGGAGGCATTCATCAGGCGGAAGTGCTGCAGCGCCTGCAGTTGCTGCAGTTCATCCGTTGATGGCTGGGAAAAACACTGAACTGGGCGTGGCGATGGCGATGAGTTGCCACTGTGAACCTGACCCTGACCTTGGTTCCTCTGGCCACTGGCGACGCATGCGCTCTGCTCATAAAGCCGTCGATTGTCCGTGTACTTTTCGTACTGATTGCTGTTGGTGTTGCTGTTGGAGGTGTCAACACCTCCTGTTCGCTCCCAGCCCCATCGCAAAACCTTGGCCCTGCTCTGCTGCTGGCGGTGCTGGGAGGAATTGCAGCTGCAGCTGGAGCAATGACTCACCGTGGTGGCCGTGGAGTTCCGGCGACAAAAGTCATTGGCCAGCTCGGTGCTGGAGTGTCCTAGCCCAAATCTGGGCGGGGTTTTCAGGCTGGGACGCTTTATGAATTGCGTGGGTCGCAGGCTTTGTCTCGAAGATGAGGTCACTGACCTCAGATCGCCCCGTGAATGCTGCTGCTGCAGTTGATAATACTGTTTTTGCAGTGGAATTTGCTGCTGATATTGCACATTTCCGGATCTCATCTCGCCGCAATAGCATCTATGCATTGTAGGGTTCCTGTTTGTAGCTTTTCTAATTACAGTATCTATTTTTTGGAAAATGCTGGATAGCGTGCCCACTGAATGTTAAGAGACGACTGCCGACAACCGGTTTCCACACTTATGGCCTGGTACTTTATCACCAATCATCATACCATATATACCGTTAGCCGGCTAAATTAAGCACTCCCATATCGTTTGTTTATATTTGAACAACAATTGCAACAGTTTCCATAGACACATGTCGAGGTCCTTGGGCTGTTTATTTTTGGCCAAGCACTCACTCACATAGTTAAATCCACACGCACACATATGCTCAATGTCTATGCCCAGTTGGACAAAAGAATGCGCTGGCCAAACGAAAGACTTAGGCAACAAACTTGAATTGGGCACCATGAAGTGAAGTGGAGAACCACAATCAAAGAATAGTGTTGTAAAAGACTTCAAGAATAAATTGTAATCATGCATTTGCGATTTGACTTCATGGATCTATGCTTAGAGTTTAGAAATAGAAACCTGACTTTTTTTGGATTATAAACTGCATCATGTAAAAAAATTAATCAATATGTATATCCGTTTTAGTTTTCTTTATCAATTAAATGTTTTTTATATGCTAATAACAAGTTACATTTGTAAAAGGTTTGCGTCACATTGTCAATTAAATTTAATTAATAGTTGTCTGCTTGCTGGATTCAAACTATTAATTAGTAACAAATTTTAGGATTAGCCAATTCGCCTGATCCGAAATTTATTTCCCGTCAAGAATTCGAGTCTCGATTCGGCCCACAAATGTTGCCAAATTCTGACCCAATAAAAACTAGTTCCTGTGCACTTGTAAAATATACACTGCGCTTGATCAAGTGTCTCAACAAGTGTTGCTGTTCGACTTTCCCGAAGAAAGTGAAGCATGAAATGTGATCCAATATGCAGGCCTATTAGATAAGCGGTATACCCGATTTTACTGCCTGGAGAAGAAACCCCCAATTACGTTAAAAAACGTAAACAGATAGAGTTCAATGAACCAAGGCGAAAAGGAAAATGAAATCGAAAGGGCAGGACAGGGTTGCTGGGTGGCTCGGTCATTGGTCACTCGGCTTTCAGTGGTGGTTGGTTGATTGGCCTGCCCAAAAGCGGTGAGCCGGAAAGCAAAAGTGGTTCGCACACCAGCTCGTTTAATGGGCCAAAGCTCTGGGCGATTGAAAACTCATCGATTCGATTCGCGGGAGCTTTTTTACCGATGTCGGACGTTGAAAGTCAACTTCTGCGCCGGCGCCGCGGCTCAAGCTCAGTATATAAAGACGATCGGCGGACGCATCCCGTCTACACAGTGATAAGTCTTCGGTCAGAACCACCTGTCGGCCCCTTCGATACGGAATAAACGCGCGCGTACGGAAACTTTTCGAGCCTAGTGTCGACTGGAGTTGCTCTTGGTCAACCGATTTCTGCATCAGATTTAATATATATCCCCCGGACAAGATATGTCTAAATACTCACCGCTGCTGCTGCTGCTAATCGCTGCGGTTGCGCAGGAATTAACTGTAACGGCTGCGCAAGATTTGCGTAAGTACTAAGCCAAAAAATAAAATAAGCAAAAAAAAAAAAAAAAAACTAATGCGAGTCAAAAGTGCAAAAAAATTATCGATCGTATTTGCTTTAGCGCTATGCTTCGGCTATACCTATTTGTTTGGCACCACATTTATGGTTAAAACGTGCTCGATATTGTTTATGGCTCCTTAATTCGTTTTGGAACTTGGGTCTTGGCCTGCAGACCTGAAGGCCGATCTCTGTAAGATTCTCTAATGGTGTGGCAGGCATGCAAATTAATGTTACACTACAGCCATTACAGTAAATATTACTAAAAAGTCATGCCGGCTTATTAGAATACTTGGTAAATTTTTCGTTTGGTTCAAATATTAACCCATAAAAATATCCAAAAACTTCAACTTAGTTTTTAGAAGCTCTAATGTACCTTAGTAAAATATTTATTGTTATAAAACACTTACTTATGAACACAAGTTCAAAAGATAATACAAAGTCAATACAAATTCAACTAAAAAACACAAAAAAAATTGAATCTTGACCCAGACACATTAAAAATGATCTTAGTTATTTTCCCAGAATCGGTTAATATTAAAGTAACGAGCTAGTCTAAGTTAATAGTCTTTGCAATTAAAATTGAGAATAATTGAGGAGAGTTGTAAAAAGTTGGCCATCAGCAGTAAAACTTTATGCTTTTTATTTGCGTGTTGCTAAATGGTCAAGATCAATTAAGATCAGTTTTGGCGGCATTAGCGGTTTTCCCCCAATCGATGTCCACTGTACACATGCGTTATGCAATTGTAACCATCGTCTGCAAACAGGTTGCTCTTGGCCGGGCCAGTTTGACGGTCCAGACAGTCCACTGATCCACATTCACACTTACACTTCCGCTTGTGACACAAATTCACGAGTATCGCGAAGAGAAGGACATAATAGTGTAAGCGGCTGATTTGTGTGTTAATTAATTCGCACATTCCGCGGCCAGTGAATTTTTCCGAGTGTAGCTGATTAATGAAACCGTTGGCATAGGTCATGAATGCCTTTGTCTTCTCACTCAATGTATTCATGATAAATGGCCCCTCGCAGCGTGCGCTTCAACTTGACATTGAGCCACTAAAATATGCTAGCTCACTTCTTTTTCTCATATGTATTTATTTATATATCACTTCTGTTTTGTTTACAAAACGAGTTTCGGTGGCCAACGAACTCTGGCCAAGTGGACGGATGCTGTGGCCCAATTGCAGGCCGTTTCTGGCCAGCGAACTTCCGCAATCCGCAAGACGGCGATTTCAATGTCATGACCAAGCGACTTAACCGATTTATGTCTCGTCTTTGCAGCCGAAGGCTTTCCCAAGTGCCAACGGGATACGAACTTCGACAAATGTCTCGTGGATGCCGTGAATATTGCGATACAGCAGCTGAAAGGTGGTAAGTAATCACTGCAATTTGCTCGCCATTCGGGTGTTAATCCATCGCAATCCTTTGGCAGGCAACAAGGAGTTCGGTATTCCGCCCCTCGAACCGCTGACCGTGAAGAAACTAGTTATAGACGCCGGCAATGCGCCAATAAATCTACGTCAGGCCTTGAAGAATGTGAAGGTGCACGACATGATCTCCACCAGCAAGATTCAGCGATACAGGTGTGTTATCTTAATTCTTTATACATTATTCGTATGATTGGTACTTTAATATATAAGAAAATAATATTAAACATAGTTGTTATAATGGAAACCTCTAATCTTTTAGAACCGATCTGGATAAGCACTTGATTATCTGTGATAGCCGAACCGATCGTATCGAGATGATCGGTGATTACGAGATGTCTGGACGAATCCTGTTGCTGCCTATCACTGGTCATGGCAAGGCTAATGTCACGCTGATCAACACCAAGATCGAACATCGTCTGATCGGCGAACCCTTCGAGAAGGATGGAGTCAAGTACATGCGCCTCAAGGATTACCGTGTGTCGTTTGATCCCAAGCGAGTGTACATGAACTTCCAGAATCTTTTCAATGACAAAACTCTCTCCGACGGAATGAATCGGTTCCTGAACGAAAACTGGGAAACAGTGTTCAATGAACTTAAAGTGGGATATGCCAAGAGTTTTGGAATTATCTTCCGGGAACTGTCAAATAAAATTTTCGAGAAAGTGCCCTTCGATAATATATTTTTAAGTTAAGAGCTTCTTGCTTACACTTACCTGTTAGGTAATGTCTAATTTATATGTTACTATTTAGATAATAAAGGACCTAAAACATTCAGAATTGCTTTGCATATTTATGGTTTTCTAACAAGCGTTAATGATCTTATAATGGCCTCGAATATAGACTTTTAAATGTTTCTTTAGAGTCGGTTTTATTGCTCTTAACAATGTTACTGAAATTCATGTCGAACTTTAATACAGAAATCACTATACTAGAAATAAGATAAGGGCACAACTGCTCAGAAAAAAACATTTAATAGTTGTACTTACTATTAACCGACAAATTCAAAAGCGGAAAATTCCGTTACCCTGAGTGTGACCGAAATTCGAGAATTTTCCACTCTCTTCCATGACGCTTTTTGGTATTTTTGCAGTGCATACGCCAACCACACTGAAGTGCCAGGTTTATTTGTTGGTCAATTTGTTTAACACCATTAAAATAAAGTAAGAAGTAATACTCCACCGGAATCTATCGACTGCTGAAAGTCTGCCTGGATGGCAGAGAGAGCGGTCGCTATGGAGGGCACCGTGCCAGAAGCCAAATACCAGAAACTAGCCACAGAATACTCAAAGGTTTGTATTGTTTTCCTTCGTCAGCAACAGTTAACGCCCATTAATCCAATTAATCTGCCGACAAAAACCTCGATTAGTTAAGAGCCCAGGCCACGGTGCTCAAGAAGGCGGTTCTGGAAGAGCAGTCCAAGGAGGCCAGTTTAAGGGAGCAGCTACAGCAGTATGCCACTTCATTGCGGCGCACCGAACAGGAAGTGGACTCCTTGGGCTTCCGCAACAAGCAACTGGAGTCGCGGGTGTCCCAGCTGCAACAAGAAATCTCAGCGCACGAGCAGCCCAAAAAGAAGGACAAGGATACCGGTGGCAAGCGGGGATTGCCGGGAAACAATCGGCAGGAAGCAGATACTCCATCGGATTCTGCCCAAGAAGCCCTCATTTTCGAAGAGCTGCAGAAGAAAATCATGGAGAATGCCCAACTGACTTCTTTGGTAAGTCCATGGGGTTTAAGACAAGAAGAAATATATAATATGTAATCCCGAACCATTTACAGATAGATGACAAGCAACGGGATTTGTTGCTGCACACGGAGCGAATCGCTTCACTCGAACAAAAACTGGAGAAACGCATCGGCGACCAGAACGAACTGGAAAAACGACTGAGGAAGGAGGTGGAAACGCTGCAGCACAGGAACAGCGAGCTGGAAACCAAGCTTGTAGATGCGGCCAGCATGGTAGGATATGGAACATAAATTTAAATTGGATATGTTTCGTTTGGTATATTCATATATATAGTTTAGCGCGCAAGAGTTATTTTCCCCATCACAACTCACTTTTTAAATCCTTGCCTTTATTATATAAATTTTTTTCAGCTGGGCAGCGAGGACGCTCTGAGCGCCACCGGCAGCGATAATACGCCCCTCCACAATCACCAACATCAAGCGAATAGCAACCAACTCACGTCTGAGGATCGCATTGCGCTGCTCGAAAAGGAAGCGGCTCATTGGAGGGCCCAATTCGAAGTGGCCAAACTGCACCAGTCGTTTGTCTCGAACCCCATGAAAGATCTCAGTACTTGCAGTTGCAGCACGGCGGCGGCGGGAGTGACGGTGCGACCAGCAGAGCCAGATGTTAAAGGCAGCCAACGAGCTCGTGACTCTCTGCAGGATCCCCCCGAGCCGCCTACCAAGGAACAGCTTATCTACAGTGTGTTCAGCAAGAAGTTCGAGGACTTAATGCGACTGAAAGTTCAGGCGGAGTCCAAGCTGCGATCCTACGAGCTGGAGGCGCAGCACCTGCAAAACTGCCTGGAAAACGCAACGCACGAGCTTAAAGCCAAGGACGACCAGCTGGCCAGTCTGGGAGGAGCTTTACAAATGCTCGAAGAGGAGTTGGTATGTTTACTATATACCCTTTTTAAGTATAAATATTTGATGTATTTTACATCTCCCCAGACCACGACACGCATTAACTACGAGGAACAGATTAGCGTGCTTACGGAGCAAGTTATCAGTTTGAGCGACCAGTTGGCCGCTTGCAAATGAGTGTGGAGTTTGGAGCGAGTCCCGCCCTGCTGCTTTACTGTAAATTATTGTAAAATAACTAACCGGGAATGCCCGCTCCCTGCTGTTTTGTTATTGTCCACCCTCGACGTGTATATAACTGAACATTCTATGTGTATTAAAATAATTCTCTAAAGTTTAAACGTGAAATTACAATTTTATGGAGAAAGAGGAGCCGCAGGAGCAGCCCTGTTCCGCCAGCGGATTGGCCACCATGCGGAATCCAGCACGGATGAGTTCGCTATGGTAATCAACGGTGGAGCCACTGCAGTATTCCAACGACACGGTATCGATTACCACTTTGGCTTTATCCTCCCCGAATTGCCGGTCATCCTCGTTGAGCTGCTTGTCTAAATCGAACTTGTACTGAAAGCCAGAGCATCCGCCGCCTTCGACTGTCACGCGGAGGAAGGAACCATCCACGCAGATCTCACGGAGCCGTTTCAGGCAGCTCTCGCTCACCTGGATACTCAGCTCGGGATTCACAGATGTGGAGGCTGAGACGTGCCGCATCAGAGTCAGATTTCTGTGCAAAATCAATTTTTTATGATATATTTATATAACATTCTGTATTTTACCTCTGCAGTCCCGTTCTGGCCACTTGTCTTAGTAGGAAAGCCATAGCTGCCCAATTTCACAGCCGAAAAATTTAATTTCAATATTTCTATTTATTATCTCGTAATCCAAACAACTACAGCTGTTTTCTCCGATACCCAGAACCGATAATTGCACGAGCAATAACGATAAGCATATAAACCTGCGGTATATTTCCCACGCGACTCAGGCTAGTCTTTTTTAATTTCCTTTTCTAGTACTTTTTTATTCAGCGGCGGTCACACCGCGCGCTTGGCTATGGAGGAATTTTTGAAGACGTTGGTTGTTTGATTTTCCGCTCAAATTTGTCTCGATTCTATTTCGTAAATGCTTTCGAATTTATATTGTAAATACTGATAGAGCAGATGGCTCTGCAAGTAACAGTAAATGGAAAGTTCGGCGCCAACTTGAGGAAGCCAGTAAGTCGCCTTGACGATCCAGAGCGAGTGCGCAAAGATCTGGAGAGTCAGCGTCGCATAACCCGTTTGCAGCAGGTAAGCCCTTTAAGAGCCAGAGCCAATTGCGCAGCAATCAGTCGGATAACCATGACCCAATTTCCCTACTAGGTGCGTGAGAAGTCCAACCACTTGGCACGCAAAATACGCGAGGAGGTGGCGGCCGAAAAAAAGAGACAAATCGAAAATTTGGAGCAGGTCAAGCAAAAAGAGCTGAATGCATGGCGTGAGCATGTTTTGGTCAAAAAGCACCAGGACTACCGCTCGGCCATTTTCCAAGTGGGCGCCGCCCATCGCGCCGCAAGGGAGGAAAACGAGAGAATCGAACAGCAAAGACAGGAGAAAAACGAAAAAATGCAAAGGTGCCGCAAGCAGGCCTTGAAAAGATCGGGAAAAACATCGGTTCAGCTGCGAGTCACAAACGCGATGAATCTAAATACGGAGGGAAGGGTCACGGCGGGTACACAAACACCCATGTTGGAGAATAAGGAAAATCGGCTGGCAAGTGGCTGCCACAAACCATGTTGCAAGGGCAAACGGAAAAGGACAACCAGCTGTAGTTGTGCAACAACCGAGGACGAAGAAGAGGAAGAGGAGGAAACTTCCGACTCGTCCATCCTGGTTTGCGATAGTCCGACCAGCAATCGGCGTCTTCAAAGGACTCCCCCTGTAATTTTAGACGTGGAAATTGATGAAACTATTTCCGAAACTATAAACAACCCAAAAGGTTTGGAGATCAACGATAGGTTTATGCAAACCAACCGCAAATTCAGCCATATAGTGAGACCCAGCGAGGAGGATGAAGGACAGCGCAGGCCGAGATTCACAGTGATTAGCGATCTTGTGAAAAGGACAGAGACTTCTTCTAATATAAGAGTTGAGCCGGGATTGCGAATCCATCCAGATCCAAATCCATCAGTATCTTCGCCACCTAGTCCATCGAAATCACTGCGAGATTCAGAGCCCCCAGCTGGCAGCAGGTCCCCTACAAGAACAGCTACCAGAAAATCGCCTACCAAAACATCCACCAGCAAATCACCCACTAGAGTAACCAGAGTATCACCTAAGAAAACAGTGACATCAACGCGTCCGCCTCAACCAGCCAAACGAATAGGCTTGAAAACGAATCCAGCTCCGGCCAAAGTTATAGATGCCGGAATTCGTAAAGTCCAAAAGGGAAAGACTCCCGTTACGCTGCCAAAAGAAACAACCGTACAGGAGCCTACAGTGGAACCGCCTAGGAACGTCCAACCCATTCCGGAACAATGCATGCCACCCATTCCAGAGCAACCGATGCCTCCCATGCCAAATCCTCATATGAACCATTGTTATCCCGCGCCGCAGGCTCAGCCATATATGCATCCTTATGCCCAACAGCCAATGCAACCTTACGCAATGCCATATTCGATGCCATTTCCCATGCAGCCACAGTATCCACAGCCACATGCGATGTACGCCCCGCAACAAATGATGCTGAACCAGCCGGCAGTACATGTACCTGCGGTGACTGCTCCGCCGAGTACAGCCACCCAATCAACCGTTTCCACCACCACTTTTGTCATGTCCACGCGACAGGATCCAAAGACGACCCAAAGTGGACGGGTCCAGTTTTATGACCATGGCAACAAATATCATCGAACATACGACGCACCCACACAATCAGTGCAATCGGTTGAAAAGGATGCCGGACAGCTTACTGCCATGGATCATGCCCGCATTGAAACCCAGCTAAGGGAACTGCGCGAACAGGAACTGGATAAACTAAGGTAACACTTAGGACTGGAGATGAATTGTAGGATATTAAACGTTTATTTATCTAAATACAATTAGGAAAATCAGCGACGATCGTGGTCAAAAGGCTTTGGAACGTGAGCAAGTTCGTCGGGATTGTGCGGAGTTAACCGAGAAGCTGGATGCCTTAACCCAACAGCAACCTCAGCTCTTGCCTAGCGATGTAAGAAAATCAAAGACTTATTTAATCAAAACTAATGAATTAATATGCCAAACAGGCGGACTTCATACCAAGTCATCGCTTCGCGGATGCTGCAGCTAGAAAAGAAAAGAAAATGAACGAGGCCCTGGAACAGATGCTGCTGCGTCCAGCTATCATTACCTGCCCAGAAGTGCGCACTAAGGTTTCACCTCCTAATTCGACGCGTGGCAAATCCAACGCTCCAAATGCTATTAATGTCGGCGAGCCTCCAGCTCAGATGGGTAGGGATAAACAGGGCAGCACCGAAAGCTGCTGCTCCATCCTCCTCGACTACGTGGATGATCAGAGCAAGCAGTTAAGGTCAGACTTGAAGGCAGAGCAGTCAAACTCCCTAAAATCCGCGAGATTACGGAACTTACTCGATCGAATTGAAAAGATTCGAGTCCAGCTGATGGAGGAGCTTAAGGCGGGCGAGTCAGCGGGTTCCAAGGGTGACAATGCCCAGGAAATGATCGATAACATACGCCGGGAACGGGCGGATATATTATCTGAAAAAGCTAAGTCGCTCAACGAACGAGAATCGGATCTACAGCAGAAGGAGGCCATTCTCGAGCAGCGTCTGAGGAAGTTCTACAAAGAGACGAAGAGTAAAAAGTCTAGTGATCAGGCAAAGTCATCCGATAAAGAGGAAAGACCACTGGAAATCATAATTAAAGTAAAGAGCGATGGCACTGTAAAGCAATACGTTCCCAAAGGTAAATCAAAATCCAAAACAAAAGCAGGAATGATCGAAAATGAAAGGGAAAGGGATGTGTCTCCAGGATCAACAGAGAGTACGCCAAGGGAAGAACCTCCGAAACAAACAGAAAAGGAAAACGGAATGCGTCCCATGACACAGGATCTGCGTCAGGCCTCAATAGATTCCAACTCCACCGCTTATCGCAGTCTGCCGCCAGTTAGCTACAGAAGTTTCAATCCGGGACTGGGCTCCATGCCTTCTCCGCCTTCAGCTCCTCCTCCTGCGCCCCTGCATCCGATGATTGTCCAGTACATACATCGTTTGCTAGGCATGACGCGTCACAGTGTGGATGAGATGGGAGTGAGTTCCTCATATGTGGCCACTCCCTCACCTTCGATCATCAATTCGTCGAGGAACATTTCTCCATGCATCGAGCCCGAAACGGAAAGAACTCCACAAGGAATCCACGATGAGACTGTGGTGCATGAACAGCGGATGGAACGAGTGCAATCCTTTATTGACGACAACCGAAGCTTTATTAACGAGTTGGAAGACTCCATAAGATGTCAGAGGCAATTGCAAAAGGAGCAGCAGGCGCAAGACACAGAGAAGAGTTTGCAAGCCTTTGATCAGATATGGAACAAGCGATTGGCTAAGAATCGAGCAGATTGCCAGACAAATAACAAGGAAAAAGAGCAGAAAAGAGAAAGAATGGCAGCAGAAAAGTTACAAACTCAACGGGAAAGAGGAAAGTCACAGCCTCAGGTTCAAGTAAGAGAAAAGCAGCAACGCAGCGCATTGCAACAACCAAGGGAACAGCAAAAAGGAAAGAAGCAGAGTCCCGGTGGAATATCCTTGAGCTTGCCAAGCGATGTGACCAGCGCTAAGGGCACTTCCCGTTTCGTGTCCGAAAAATCAAAATCGCAATCCAATAGCGAAGAGTCTTCTGCCCGGCAAATGGAGCGCTATGCCCAGCTCACTGAGAATTGCACTCAGCGAATTGCCGAGCTCACGGATCTGATTACGAAGGTGCGCGAGGAGAAGCAGCGACTAGTGGAGGTCACCCTGACATCGAACAGCGATGGGGAGCGCCAGTCCACAGAGTACTTTGACCTTCCAAACGGACAAAAGCAAGCCAGATGCAGGACTATTTCCGATCGCAGTGATTCTCAAACGGCTTCCATCTCGGAAGCATTGCCTCTGCAAAAGAACAAACCCACTGCAGCCAGCAGGGATAGTGGCATTGCTGACTCCCGTCCAATAACCGCACAGGGACAGATCGCTGTAGATGCAGAACCTATATCTCTGGGCTCATCTACTCAAAATAACACGGCACGTGGCCGAATGAAAGCTCCTCCGGCCACCATTCGCCGGTATAGTCCCCAGTTAGATGCTGAGGATCTGGCGCATGAGCTGTCCACCATCACGGAGGTGGAAACACCAGGACAATCGCACATTGTGCCCGCCACACCAATGCCCAAACCATTCCCCAGTTTCGATCAGTATGCCAGGGAGATGCAATTAGATCTGTCGCGACTGGAGGCCGATCAGAGTCAGCGGTTGCAGTCCGAGTTCAACAATCTGATCCAGGTAATCCAGCAGCACACTGGAGGATCCGATTACCGTGAGTTTCCTAGCATAACTGCCTATCTGCAAAACATGACTAGCACACAAATCCACCTAGAATTGGGTCGGGATCACGATCAGACTTCGGTGTCACCGTGCGAACTGATGCGCCAGTTGCGTGTGGTCAATGATAATATGCAGGATTTTCCCCAACGCAGGGAGTACCTGGAGAAACTGCTGTCCAAGCAACCTGCCGACCAGAGAGAACTAATAGATACTGCCAGTATCGAGCAGGACTCCTCGGATTCCTTTAACGTAGAGGAAGAACTGCGTCAGCGAAATATATTGATGACTTCGTTTCGTCGTGGCAATGCGACGGACACCACATTGACGGCTCAGGAGGTGGCCAGCAGCACGCGGCGGGAAAGTGTAGCTCCGGAAACCAATGATCCTCCAAACGAAAGTGGCATCGATCCCCTGTCCGGCAGCAATTTTTCCAGCGATGCGGAACAAAGACCCCAGTGCTGGCATGCCACAATCCATCAGAGGCAACAGAGGGTGGATGAATTGTGCAGTAGCACATCCAATTCTTCGCCGGAACGTCGAAAAACACGACCAAGGTTGCGAGGTGGTCAGAATCAGAGCCAAAAGTCCAAGGATGATTCCTCGGTTCAGGATGCAAGTCAGTTGGGAAGGTCGCTGAATCTGAGGGAATTTCTCACCCGAGAGCTGCTGAAGCATCGAGTGCACACCGGCAGCACTTCGGAGAGTTCAGATGAGTCACTGAGGGGTCACTTCCTCAAGTCGGTGCTCCATTCACTCTCGCCGAATAGCAACACGCAAACACCGAAGGTGGGATTGAGCCACAACACTGGAGCCACCAACGACAGGCAAAAGACCTCGACTCCAGTGGGTTCATTCCTCTCCATCGCCGACAAATCTGGATCGGTTCGCAGCACTGGCAGTCAGCTCTTCTCCGGTGAGAGCCATATATCCCTGGTCCACTACCCGGATGGGACTCCACCCGTTCCCTACGAACAGCAAAGCAAACAGAGTACAAATCAAACTCGACAAACCTCAGGTCAAGTTTCATCAGCCCATCGTAAATCACCTCGAAAATGATTGCGTGCGTTTTCGTTTGTTTAGGTTTAAATTCGTATTATTGATTTTTATGAGAAATATTTATATTTTAATAACTTTGCAATAATGTATCCAAAACTGCTCATCGAAAGCGATCACATCGATTTTGCTCAAAACGTTCGATTTTAAATTGTACCATCAATTGTATTCAAATTTTTTATATTTTAATAAACTTGGCAAATATTTATTGAAATTCTATCTAGAGTTCGGTATTGCGACAAGCAATAATATACAGAATATATATACAGTATATATTTGAAGGACTAACTAATGTGTGATTAAGTAAAGAGTATCCCATTGATCCTTTAAGGATGGCGGTGTTTAGTGTGTTGTCTGGAACCAGAATGTAAGTATCTTCTCTTGTCATGTTTTAAGTTGCCTACTTTTCTCTGGCGGTCTACATAAAAGTTTTTATACAAATTCAACACTGCATCCCCGGTGGAGATTATATCTAAGTACAATACGTATAAGGCAGCACATCTAGACTTTTCGTTTACAAACTTAACTACACTAAGTACATGAAGCATGGATAACATAAATCTTGTTTTTGAGTTAAGGAAAATCATTTGGTACGGTTTAAGTTTTGGACAAGACTCCCTTTTTTCTTTAGGGAGCTAAAATTGCACCTTGAGACATTTTAAGCACCAGTTTTGGGTAAATGCGGTTCCCGGTGGACGTTTTAGCGCTAAGCTGCTCACTATTGTCTTTAATCCTGCTCCTCACGGTCTTGTTCATCCCGTTCTCTCTGCATCCTCTTGTGACTGTCACTGGCTGTCTTTTTCAGGGCTTCGGCTTCTCCGCCCGTTGCCTCGACCATTTGCCTTAAATGGCCTTGTGATTTCTTAAGTAGTAAATGGGGTACATCGTATTCCACTGCCACGCCAGCATCCATCACAATTATGCGATCCGAATCCATGACAGTGTGCAATCGGTGGGCCACTGTGAGTACAGTGCATTGCTTGAATTTGATGCGGATGGTGCGCTGAATCAGGGCATCGGTTCTGTAAGATAAAGTTATTAGATTTGTGGTTCAATAAATCACAAATCAAAAACTTACTGAGGATCCACATTGGCGGTAGCTTCGTCCAGCACCAGAACCTTGTTGTTCCGGAGAATAGCTCTCGCTAAGCAGAGCAACTGCCGCTGACCCACACTAAAGTTGCTGCCCCTCTCCGTGACCATGTAATCCAAGCCGGGAATAGCACCTCTTAGCTCTACATCCTCCAAAGCGCTCCAGAGCTCAGCATCCGTGTACCTCTCAAACGGATCCAAGTTATAGCGAATGGTGGCCGAAAACAGAACCGGATCCTGGGGTATAATCGAAATGCGGGTTCGCAGCACTTCCAGCGAAATGGAGCCCGTTTCAATGCCATCGATAATAATCTCTCCATCGATGTAAGCAAGCCGGAAAAGAGCTCCTATCAGCGAGGATTTGCCGGCACCTGTTCGCCCAACAATGCCCACCTTCCAGCCCGCCTCGATGGTTAGATTGAGGTTCTTAAGCACCGGTGATCCATTGGGATCGTAGCGACAGTTCAAATTGCGGAACTCCACCAGACCCCGGGTGGGCCACTGCTGCGGAGGTGTCTTTTCAGTAAGCGCTGGTTCCTGATCCAATTCGGTGTACTGAAGGACGCGCTCCACGCTGGTCATTTGCTGCAAGGATTCGGCCACCTGGCGCACTCCATACTGCACCATTCCAGTCAAAATCATGGCCTGGGAGATGGCCAATCCCACGTTGCCACTGTAAGTTGCTGAAGGAATAGATTTTAAGCTTTAGTATGTAATTATATACACAAAGTACTTACTTTCACTGGAAACAATAAAGCTAAAGGTCACTGCAGTGAGGAAGACACAACTGACGCAGTCCAACCACAAACCCAAAGCCGTATTCGCAGCCATCGTTAACTGCCAAACGCTACTGTGCACATCCTGCAGCAGATCAAACTCCTTGGCCACCACATCCTGCAACTGGCGGGATCGAATGATGGCCAGACCAGAAAGGGAAGCACTCAGATGGGAGAATACCGGACTACGGCAAATGCCCTCCAATCGCTTCAGATCCTGGGATGGTCGCAGGTACAACTTGAGGATCAGCACATCCACAACTGCCACCACCAACATGGCAGCCATCAGAACCGGATTCACGATGCTAATCACAATCAGAATGCCGAACATCACCAGGGCGATTTGTATAAAGTCCATCATGGCACGCGGCAGCAACTCATCAATAGCGCCCATGTCCTTGGAGAATCGATTCAGAATCCTTCCCGATGGAGTGGTGTCAAAGAATCGCATGGTGGCGTGCAGGATGCAAGCAAACATTCGATCGTGCAAGACTTTGGAGGCATGCATGCAGATCTTGAAGAACAGAAAGCCGCGGAAAACGGTCATGATCACAACGGCAATGATCAGAGCTCCGTAAATGTACATGCACTCAAAGGTGGTGAATTTGGTCTCCTCTCCCTGGGATCGCTTGTGCTCCTGCTGCGACCAAATGTTGGAGAAGTAATCTGAGCTGCTGCACACCACCTGGGACATCAGCATCACGAAAACCATGAAACTGAAGCTCAGCAGAGTGCTGCCTGCATGGAAGTACTCGTACCAAACTCGAGGTGAAATTCCACCAGAAGCTTGTGCCTCGGCCAACGCATCTTCATCCACATCATCATCCATATTGGTGCTGTCCAACTGAAGATAAGATAAGATTAAATATGCAGAATTCACTATAGATAAAAAGCACTTCTAACTCACCGACTTGCTGCCATGAACCGAGGTGCTTTGCTTCCTCAACTGCTGATAACCATCTTTTACGCCATCAATGAAAGGAATATCCTCATCGTCGCTCTCCTGTGATTGATTGCCAAGTGAGGATGATTGATGGTGACTGTTCTCCGCCTCCTCCTCTTCTTTGGGCCGCTCGAGCAGCTTTGCGAAATCGAGATCACTGTTAATGAGCTCCTGATAGGTTCCTTGCCTTAAAATTTTTCCCTGGTCCACAATCACAATGATATCCGCCTCGGCGAGGAAGTGCACCTGATGGGTCACCAATATGCGCGTGGCCTTAAGCTGGGCCAGTCGTCCTTTGGGTCCAATCACCTCATCGAACAAATGCCTACCCACATGAGCATCTACGGCACTCAGCGGATCGTCCATCAGGTAAATCGAAGCGGGTTTGTAGACAGCTCGAGCCAAGCTGATGCGAGCTCTTTGACCTCCGGAAAGCGATGCTCCTCGCTCCCCGACAACGGTTTTATCTCCATTTGGCAGCTGTTGGAAATCTGTGGCGAGGGCACAGCAACGAGTCACCTCCTGGTAGCGCTTCCTCTCGTACTCCTCGCCAAACAAAATGTTATTCCGCACTGATCCCGTAAAGAGCCAGGGTTCCTGAGCTGCATAAGAAAGATCTCCCTGGATGACAACTCCTCCATCAATGACTGGAAGTTCGCCAAGGAGCAGCTGGAGTATGGAGCTTTTGCCAGCACCCACGGGTCCAATCACTGCACACAACTGACCCTTCTCGATCTGCAGATTAATGCCTTGCAGGGTCCTCTGCGGCTTTTCATTATCCCAACTGGCATTAATATCCTTGATGGTCACAGCTCTTGAGTCACCGCCATCCTGATCTCGCTTGTGGGTAAGTCCTTGTGTCCTCTCCTCTCGTCCCTCGAGCAAAAGGAAATCCTGGATGCGCTGCAACGAGACCAGGGCTTCCGCTCCAAAACTAACAGCAAGAGGATACCAAATGGCAGCCACCAATTGCAGGATGTTATAGTAACTGGCTGCGGAGAACACAAAGTCGGCGGTGATGTTCTGACCCATCAAAGCAGCTGCTGCTAGGGTGATATAAAGGGTGGATCGCTCCGTGAACACCATGGTACTGAGGTAGAACCCTCTCAGGTAAGATGCATAACGAATCTGCTGGATTTCGCGACGTCTCGCTTCAGCCACAACCGCCTGAAAGGGTTTCTCCCAGGCGTACATCTTGATAACTTGAATGCCCTGCACCAATTCGTTCATGATGCCAACCCTTGCATCCGTTCGCTCGGCGATTCTCATTCGCAGCACCGATGTGACCTTGCTCAAGGCCGTTTGCACGGGTATCGTTTTTAGCAGCAATCCAATTACTCCCACCAATGCAGGAATGCCGATGTTCAGCCAAATCAAGTAGCATGTCAGCACCGCCTGCAGTGGCATTATCCAAATCCAGTGCATAAATATGAATCCATAATCCAGGCGATTAACATCGTTGGAAAGCAGATTGATAAGGTAACCAGCTGGCGTCTGACCAGCAGTTTTCATTGAAAGGCGCAGAGTTTTCCTGTAGATCAGCGAACAGCAGGCGATTCGCATTCGGGCACCCATCAACCGCTGGCGAAGATCAACGTGGTGCAAAAGGAAGCAACAGAAGAGGGTGGAGGTCACTAGGACAGTGGCAAGACTGTAAGCATCGTTCCATATATACTCCGTGCTCTGATCCAGGAGATTTCGCACAACTGTGGCATTATAATCTGCTTCGTTGTTTGCTGGTTGAATCGGCTGTTTTAGGGGGTCTCCTTTGTCCAATGAATTAGGGGAGTATACTAAAACAAATAACAATTAATGCTGTTTTTATATTCCAGATAAAAGCTTGACAAACCATCTCTTGGTGAACCGCTAGAATCGACAACAGCTGGACCTATCACATAGCTTCCAATTGAGCGTGCAGTTCGGTTTATCGAATCCGATATCGACAAATCATTCAGCGCAATATTTCTCACTTCTGGAATAGGAGCCTTTTGGAACTGTATCAACAACTGCGCGAGAACAGCTGGAATCAAGGTCCTAGAAAAAGAGATGTTTTTCCAGATGACATTGTCTTTATTACACTCAATACTTACTTGATCACAATGTAGATTAAGCAAATGAGGCCATTTACAATCGTCGGTCCTAGGAAGCAACGGAAAAGAGCGTTTACGAGTTTGGGCTTCGATTTTTTGCGATGGGAACGTTCCAGTTCCTTGAACCACTTACTGAAAAAAGTAAGTAACATATTTGATGAAGAAATATTATACTCAGTTTCTTTGTGTTTTCTGTTAGATATTAGATGGTTATGGATATAATAATTACTTACTCTTCCAAACGATCGCCCAACTGTTCAGATCGATCATCCTTGAGGCATTGCGTAAGATCATCAGTGTTAAGACCTCTGCGGGATCCTCGATATAATAAGGGAATGGCCCAGGCAAATATCAATTGCGATATAATATTTGCATTTTGGCGCGGGTTTTTGCGCTGAGGCTTGGCACTACTATCCATTCTATCATATGGATGGGTAGCTCCCGTCTAGATCAGTGTCTCCGTCTACCTGCGATCGCAAACAAACTGAAACTAAACTCACGTTAAACATTAAAGTCCTCCGATTTCATTGGCTTAATGATAAGAATACGTGACTGAGGCTGAGTAATTATTGCCGTAAAGATTGGCAGAATGAGAGTTTCTTTAACACTTCTGTACATGCTAAAGATCAGAATTTTGTATTTGATGAGACAGCATAGAAACGGTAAGAACCTAAATATTTTTTAAAACAATGGTATTATATGAAATATGATGATATGTGATATGAAATACAAATGTATGAATAACTTGTAGTCAGTGTGCACTGTATTGTCTCGCATTCATACATATGTTTTAATAATAGAGTCGAATAAAACTCACTGATTGTTCGCATCATCACGACTAGTCTAGTAAGAGCTACTTTCTTATCAGCAAAGACCTTGACCAATAACGGGTGGACTATTTTATTTTTGTATCTCAAAATGACGTCGTAAATAAAATTAAAAATAAAAACGCTTTCGGTGTTCATAAATTGCAGTATTTTCTTGTCTGATAAGGGATACGTGTGATTATACCATAGGTTACATAAAAATATATGAAAGGAAATAGGCCTTCACATATTACTAAAATCATTATTTAAAATTTTTTGAAGAACCCTCAATGTATTGAAATGGAACTAGACTTTCATAGATTCCACACGCTATTCCGCCTTTATATTATTAATAATACTAAGGTGTATAGCAAACAATCATAAGTTTGCCTCGACCTTTTTTCAACATAAAAAATAGACTAGGGTCAGTCACCCGATATCGGTCGTTAGCTTAATGTGCAGCTATTTGCTTTGTCTGTAACTGATAGCAAACGAAACGAGCAGCGTAAATCAAAACGCATTTTGAGCTGCACACGGCATTTTCTCATCTTCTTATGACAATAATCATAATGTTTATTAATTGGCAAGCAAAAGTCCAGAGACCTTCTCAGATAAGCAAAACCCGGCATTTAGGTATTATAAGTATACGTGTTTTTGTTTCGAGGTAATAGACCAGACGCAAATATTGTGACCCACTTGCAGCGGAAATTTCACTTTTCAAATTAAAAGTTCTCCAACAAACTTCGCAAGTCTAAGTTAGGGAAACTTGATTGACCGACAATTTTTATGTTTCGCATTTACCCAATGGGAAGTAATATCGAAAACACTTACAAAGTATATGTATTTTCAACACTCCTAATCAACTCGCCCCTTTTTTTCGACTTAATAGATCTTAATTGTCTGGGTGCAGGCAATTAAATAAACATGACGTCGCCAATTAATTTACGTAAATAAATAGAAATGGGTGGATCCTCGTTATATTTATTTCTACTTCAGCAAGCAAGTGAAAAAAACCCACAAAATGAGCAAGCAAGTGAAAAACTCAAATAACTCCAAACTGTTATCTGTGCTTTTTATGTACGTTTTTATCTCTCTTTAGGCTTCAAATTATTAATGTAATTATTTCAGCTAGACAGACACATTTAATGTTGTTTAACTTTTTTAGAACGGGTTTTTTTTTGACTATAGTTCTGTCTCCCACTTCAGCGTTTCACGTTTCAAACTTTTTCAAAGGAAATAAAATGTATAAACACGCTAAATCAACACAGACAGCCGCTCAGCAACACAAAAGATAACCATAATGACTAAAAGTGTGGCAACATACTGCGAATTAGTGATTAAATTATTATGGCCGGTATCGCATATTCATTTACAGTAATACTTTGATATAAAAAACTTTTTATATTTAAAATTTAATTAATATTTTCCAACATGGAAGACAATGCTTTTAAACGTAATTAAATATGTAAAAAATTTATGTTAAATACAAAGATTTTCTTGTCAAGAAAAACGTTAAACTTTAATTTTTCACAAAGTTAATAATAATTAATAAAAATTGATTTTATAACTTTGATGTTCCACTGTATGCACACACAAACTGGCACCGAAAGGCACTGGGCCAATCGGTATCCGCGACCCCATCGGCAAACAAGTGGTTGCTGCCCGGTCGCAAAGTGTTTAAAATGCGGCTATTTCGCGAAAAACCGGCATTCCAATCGCTTTGCATATGGAAATATTCCACAAATGCCATAGAATGGCAGAAACTAAATTTAATAACGGTTAATGACGTAAATGCAAAGGAAGAATTGCAGCAGACGCCGACATAACAGCACATTGAGCACCCAGAGCACCAAAAACAATGGGCCAAATGCTCACACGCACACAAGCAAATGAAGAGTACATATATAATTATACAGCACTCATGTATTACGCGAAGGAACGGGCTCCAAATTTTATGTGACACCGCAAGAATTAATCAATTGATTGGCACTTACAGGCACTACCGGAGCATTGATTAATTGCCCCTACTGTTGTCTATTACTGTATCACTCGAACTAGTCCGGACTAGCAGCACGTGCAGAAATAGTACGAATACTAGTAAAGAACGCCGACTCACACACACACTTTTCAACGGAACAACGGCCCCAACTGAGGCACACACGTCTGCTTCCACCAAAAGACTGAGAGCGAATGAGCGCTAGTGGGGGAGTGAGTAACAAAGTTGTGCCCATGGTAGAATAAGTATAAGGTAGTCTCAACGGATCCGACAGTCCATTATTGAGCGCTGCATGAGTGCGAGTGAAACAGAAATAGAGTGTGTGGCTTTAGTGAACTACCCCACCATGGGTTTTTTCAATTTTTGTGAAACTCGTCCGCTAGAGGCGCTGTTTTCAGCCTGGTTAACAAACATTTTACATGGGCCAATGTTTTTTCAAACGGTTTAATTCTCTGAAACAACCCGAAACAGCCGAGAGAGCCTGGCAAACGATTGTGGACTGAACCCATGCGATTTTGCACCCAACGAGACTACCTTATTACTTATCCTACCATGTGCGTAAATATCTGTTGGCGTGAGCATCGAAAAAGAGAAAAAAGCAACAAGTTAGAGAGAGGCTTTATCGTCCTACACTATGCTACAGGAATTAAAGATCTTTAAGACTAAAAGTAAAACAAAACATAGATTTTAATTGCATAATAATTGTAATGCAGTCTTATTAATTCGTTTGAAAAAAATGCAAGTGTACATTTAGGCGTTTCTCAATAGCACGCATACGTATTGTTGTCGTGTCATAAACAATATTGATAAAAATTGATAAGAAGATAAAAATTTTTAATTTTCCAATAGAAAATATTTTATATTTCCATAATTTAGAAAATTTTGTGATTTTTAGAATAAAAAATAAATTCTTAACTTTTCATAGCCCACATTTTTGGCTCAGTTCTTTCCCTTACCAAAAGCCAAGAAGATGATTGATAAAATGTGGTTCAGCAAAGAGCTTCTTTTTTATGTGCTGGCAAACAACCTAAATTGTTTGTTTAAGTTTCAATCGCCGGTTTTCCATCAGCAAACGTCGATTTAAACAAACGCTTCAAAAGAGGAGCAATGAAAAACTGGGAGAGAGCGAGGGGAGCCAAAGCTCGCAACCCTTGCAAAATTTATAAGCTTTTTACAAGTAATGTACATATATGTCTGTAAAATAAAGATTCATAGATCAAACTAAAATGTTTAGTTTTATGTTAATTATTTTAGTTTTAATAAAGTTGATTATAGCTACTTAATAAACAATTCCAGCAATCGTTCGTTACAGAGCTTTCAATTTGTATTTTCAGCTGCAAAGCACTCACAAACGCATTAAGGACACTCCCCCGCACCGTTCACTCTCAATTTGTGTAAACACACACGGCAACAGTTGTTCTATTTTGGCGCCAAAAATAGCTGAGAACGTAAACAATTGTGCTGGCTGCGAAAGCTCGCTCTTTCACTCAATTGAGCTCTCGAAAAGTGTGTTACAGGATGTAGGTCAACCACTGCGTATGAGTGATATTGCGGAGGCTATAGTATTTCGCTTTCAGTTACCGCACTTTCAGTTGTGCGACTCGCGTACAACAGGACACTTTACACGGATAATGTGAAAGCCAAAACGGAGGTTTTTCCAAAGTGCTGCGAAGGAAATTCGCGCGCGACTTTTCCGAATCAATACAGCAACTCGATTGCCGGGCAAAAAAAAGTCATAAAAGAAAGCAAACGAAACCTCAAGAGGCCTTACAATTGTATTTTTGGCAACCCATTGACATTGTTCATAAAAAGGCAAGTGGCTTTCAAACTAGGCGAAGGCTTAAGGTGAAAATTTCAGTGGCAAAATACACAAAATAAAGATGTTGCATAGCTAAAAAATGAAAATTAACGTATAATATCTCCAATAATGATTAAGTGTAAAGATCGTTAACATTGCAATAAACGTTAAAGAAGAAATAAAGAGGACTACAATAATTGTTTGGTTCGTTTCGCAATATAATTTTTTTTGCAAGTGTGGCATTAAATATGCAATGGTCCTAAGTGGCGACTTCCCCAAGTCCACCTGCGAAAAGGTTTGGCTCTTATCGCGACCCTGGAGACACACCCATCGGTTTCATTCAACTTGAAGCTTGTAAATTGCACATACGCAACGTTGTCCCAGGCCGAGTTGCAAAAAAGCGTAAAACTCAGTGTCAAGTGACAGAAAGAGCTGTTCGAGAAGGGAAAGGGGTTGACAGAGCTGACTTTGGTAGGCATTTGAAATATTTATGAAAGCCAGCGCGTTTTCATGGAGCCTTCAACCGTTTTTGCACCTCCGTTGTTTTTGTTGTTGTTTATCCTTAATTTTTCGGTGGCAGCCTTTCGCACTCGACATCAAGGGTAATTAAAATGTGGACACATTAAGGCATTTCTGGCTCCTGTGGTTGTGGTTAGCCCCTCTCGAAAAAAGGGACACACACATGCGTTCACTGACAAAGAGATCCTTGCAACTGGTGACGAGTCAGGCGAGGGAAAAGTTTAGGATTTACGTTCGGGTTAAGTTTCCACCGCAAAGTGGAACGTTTTATATACACTGGGGGCTGGCGTGTTTCAGCTTAAATTACCTCAGTATTCTCCTACCCGTATGAGAAAACAAATATTTTAATTAGAAAGATAGATTAACACTGTGTGTAACTAAACGTGGGCAGTCATTTTCATGCCCGCATGGTAATGGAAATTCTTGAATTAGAAGGATAGTTTAACAAATATAAAATGTTTAGAACAATTTACATATAACCAAAGTGGACTGGATTTTATGGCCCTTGAATAGCAAATCCTTAATCGGAAGTTGTATTTCCAAAAGAAGTTTCCCCAAGAAGGTTTTGCCTTAAGGAATCCTTGACATTGTATCCTTTGACCCGCCTAAACCTCATTAATAATCGGCTCCTTTTTTTGGCTTCCTTTGTTTTTCTTTTTTATTGCCGCAATCAACGATTTCCGTGCGTGTTTCTTCACTTTGGTATTAAAGCCGAGGACTCTCGGCATTTCGGGGCAACGGCCGGCTGTAAAAAATAGAAACAAACTTGTGTATAATTCATAAGGCAAAGCATTCCAATTGTACTTGCCGACCAGTTGTGGTCAGTACTGTTGATGTCAGCTTTGGATTCGACCGATAATATAGACCGATAATGGATTTGGATTATGGGTAGAAGCACATGTTCTGGAACATGCCTCGAATAGAGAGGATAATTTAATGGGGGAAACTCGGGTGGAGAAACTTTCATTTGCAGTCTGGTGCCGCCTGGCTCCCAAGTCAGTTATTTTATATGTATCCCTGAGGCCGCTTTACGCCAACATCATCTGCATATAACAACTTGCTTAAAGGTCTTTTTTGGCTAACCAAAGGTAGTCAAAAGAAAAGTTTGACATGCCTGGCGAAAGCACGCTTTTATGCCTTTTGGAAGGCTCCAAACATTTTTGTTTCTCTAAGCAAATTTATCAAAAAAGGAGAATGGCTAAAACGTGTTCGGTGAAGTTACACACGAGTGATTAGCATGTTTTTCCTGAAAATCTCTTAAAAGCACTGCATTAAAGCAACTTGCTTTAACAAGTCTCAATTGAGTTTTTCTGATTGAATTACCAGCTGTGGAACCTTGAATCACCCCTTGGCTCAAATTCAATTCTGACCTCATTTAATGTTTGCTTCAATGTATCTAAGACATTTGTCTGCAATCAATGCTGCTTCCGATACACAGATAAAAAGAAAAATGAATGAAAAGGGTGTTGTGTAAAATGAAGAAAAAAGAAAAAATTGATGTGCTTGTTTAATCAGTAAAAAAAATAATACAACTTGTTTCTGACACAAATTAAACACTGAATTAAAATCCAAGTTCTGTGCAATATTTTTCCGTGTTTGATTTTCTACCTGACCTGCTACACATCAAAGTTGCCCCCAGTGGGCCAGGTTTCCCTGGCTTTCCTCGTCTTGCTCGACTGGAGCCGCTCCATAAATCAAAGGCAATGTGACGCAATTTTACTAAAATCACCAGCGATGCTACACGAAAGCTAAACAGAACAAAAAGAAAAGAATATTTCCAATTTGTTTACATTGTTCGTTCAATAAAGTCAAGGCTCTGTCATCGAGTGACCTCGATTATCGCCCGGGAATTGTCACAGTTTAGTCTTGAATTAAGTTTTATGCCACGTTTGCCAAGGGGAAAGTTTTACTAGCACGCCGCCCAAACCGCTGCCACGCCCACCAAGTGGGTTCAAAGTTGAAAAACCTCGAAGGAATCTGCATGCATTTGAGCGAAATCAAAGCAGACGGTATAAAATATTTAAGGGGCAATTAAATGGCGGCACGTGTGTGCATGGATGGAGGTTTCTTCATTCAAATGGATGCAGGATGTGGCTGAGAAAATTCTCGAAATTTCCCTAAGGCTTTATTGTGTCATTAATCGGGGATACAGATGAGCATGTTTCTCCGGAAAGGGAGAACATATTTCCGGTGATCCAAACTTGATTACCATTTGCACAGAGAGAAAATATTCAAGTCTGTTTGAGCAAACAAAAATTGAAAATCAATATAAAAGTTATAATTGCTTGTTAAAAATTTATTGCTGTTTGTTTGCAAACATTCGTAATTTATTTCTTTTATTAATTTTTTATATAAAATGTTTCTTTTTGCACTCATTATTTTCGTTAACAAAACATCCACCGCATATTTTTAAATCCTTTTGAGGATGAAATGCCACACACATGCAGAAGCTATTTTGGTCAGAGAAAATTGGTTGAATTTCGCGGTTGAATTTTCCTTGTGTGGAGGACATGACACGGCGACCAACATCCGACATCCGCTGTCTCCATTTGCCTGCGAGCAGCCTTCGTCCTTCTGCAGAGTTCTTCTGCTCCTGTGCTGCATGTCCTGCAGCCAGACAATGTGTGCAACAATGTGGGTGTGTGTATGTGTGAGTGGGTGGGTGTTGAAGGCCATGTTCAAGTACGTTCTCCTTCCGGACAGACTTTGTTTGCTTTTGATTTGCGCTTTTTCGTGGGGCAGTTCCATCGCGATTCCCACGCTCCCTTTGTTTACCTTTCGATTTCACACCGAAGCATTAAAAATGCATATGCCATGATTATTACACATACGCCATGTGTTCCGCAGCCATTTGATATTTATGAAAAACAGAGCGGGATCGAAAAGCAATTCAACAACCGGCGGAAAAAAAGAACGCCACTTAATCCTTATTCATGGCTGCACACTTTCCAGGGTTTTTACGCCCGTGTGCGTCATTTGCAGTGGCTCTCAAACCGTACCGCTAATTACTCAACACAGCCTAGATTTAAATCTCATTTGCAAGTGAGTCAGCCAGAAAAGCAAAAAAAAAAACAAAACAGGCGGTTAACAACAACAATTGCCTCTTGACCCAGGACCAAGGACAATAAGACCAATTACACTGGACAGCAAAAGTGAAAAGAAGGTTAAATTCTAAAAGCAAAATATATTTGCAAAAACATTATTTATGTCGTTGGAAATCTAGAAAAATGAAATGAAAGCTATTACAAATTCTTAAGAATTCTACTAAAATCCTATTTAGTTTAAATTAACTAAGACTGTTCCCACTTTTAGTAAATTTAATTAAGATAAATGCTTACCTAGTATTTCATTTTGTAAATCAAAAGTTTAATTGTAAGCAATTCTTTTCATAAATCCAATCACACACCCATTAAACAATTTCTAATAGTCCTTTTATATAACTGATTTCATAAATAATCATTGCAATTATCATTCCCATTACACATGCAGAAAAACTTTCGTTGGAAACAACTGAACAAAGGCAAATGAGCCCACTTCATACGCTTTAGTTGTTCATTAATATTCTAATTAATGGGCGAACAAAGGGGTCATTTTGTGAGCGCAACCTTGCTGTCTAGTGCCTCCGTCCAGGAGCCACTGATGGAAAACCATGGCGCCAAGAATCCCGCAGTGAAGCTGATGCCGTCGGCTGCTGCGGACATATAGCTTCCACTCAAATCGGGAAAGCTTTCGCTCAAAAACAAGACTTCTTCTAGTGGCTGATGCTCCGCGAATTGAATTCAATTCAATTTAGTTCCGAAACGCCGCTCACTAGGAACAGTCGCTCGAATCGCTTCGCTCATTACAGAAATTCGAAAAAAACACTAACCAAGTGAAGTAATAGGAATTTGTTACGTGCTCTCGGTGCGTATAATCAGTTTACTCAGCCTTACTTGATGTGTAATCGAAATCCGGTTATGTTTTTAAAAAACCCATTTGTTTACTGCGGAAAATAGAACTTGATAAAAATATACAAAAAACATTCTTGACGCCCTCAGCTATATATTCGCCCCCCGATATATATGCAAATACGTATTTAGTTTGCTGTGGTTATTCTGTGTGAATATAAAATGAAAGGAATTTTAGCTCCAACAAGCTATCTAAATATGTTCAAAGAAATGCATAATTTTCAAATAATTGCAAAGGCTACAAAAATGTTCACGAAATGTTTGTGTTATAAGAGCAAACAAAGAAGTCGAAAAGGAAAAATTAAAATATACCCGCCTATTTATAGAAAAGTGAAAATCCGGAAAAGTGAAAAACAAAAGATAACAGTTGAATAAAATGCAAACGAGACATACAAAAAGCAAACCAAAAGTGAACCATTAAATCAGTTTTAATTTATGCATGGAGGCATCTTGATATCTGCACTTTTAATTGAGCACCAACTTTTTGTTTCAGATGCACACACAACCCCGAAAATCATAAATAACCAACACACAACATATATAGTACACACACACCAAAAGTGAGACCAGAACCTAAACGATGAGGTGATGCAACAATTAATTTATTTATTTATCATTTATTTAAGCACATTTACACGATACACACGACAAAACACACTCAAGTATTCCGAACATATAAAGTAACAGCATAAATATCCACATACATGACTACGTCATCGCCAAGAAACCTGAACACCAGAGAGAAACAAAAAAAAAAAGAAACAAAAAGTGAATTTGAGCAAAACAATAATAAAAACCGTGTTCAGTTCAAGTTCTTGGCAGATGGGAAGGTCTCCCCATCATTTTGAAGGCAGACAAGCTTTGGCAGCCAGTCTAGAATTAAGTCGCTCTCTTGAATTCGGGTTTTACGCTCACCCTCTTCTATATAAACATATATATATATATATATATACGTATATATTTCGGATGCCTTTTTTGGGTAAGGAGGTTGGAGGCTATTCAACAGGTGCCCAGCAGCTTAGAACGAAACAAAATGTAACAATTCCCCAGCAGTTAAAGTTGAATTAGCAAAGCTCGTAACCGGAGAGGGGAAATTCCCCGCTTTTCCGACGGGGGAAAATCCTCCTCTTCTTTCGGCCACTCCAAGAATTCAGTTAGTGAAAATTTCTGGTCTCCTTTGTTGTTAGCAGCAAACAAAGCGTGAAAAAGCGTAAAATGCTGAGGTTGTAAATCTCCTGCAAAGTTTGGTTTGGCAGATTATTCAAGTCAAGGTTGCACACACAATTTGTATGTTCGGCTAAAAGAAAATTACGGCTATATTGTAATGAGTCCCCAAAGCCACAGCTTACAAAAAAGAAAGAAGAACGAAAGGTAAACAATGAGAATTATTCTGGGAAATTTGAATAAAGTCAACAGCTGCTAAGCGCTGAATAATTAAAAAGCGACGCGAAAGTAAAAGAAAAGTTTGATAGAAATGAAAAATACACTTTTAAAACTATATCAAAACAACTTTAGAATATAAATAATTTCAGTTGCTATAGGATAAAGTTTTCAAACTTTTATTCACTCTCAAAGAAATATTATATTTTTTGGGGGAAAGAAATGACAGAAGTTTTGTTTCATATATTTTCCAAAATGGGTCACTTTCTTTTGATAACACAAACTTCGCAACAAAGTTGAGTTCCCCTTAGTGGAAATGAAAGCAGCTTTGTGTATCCACTCAACAGGTACCTCGGTGGGTGCTGAGCACCGCCAGAAAACTCGTAAAATTGTGTCAATTTACCCCACCCACACGGCGTATGAGCAATGCGAGACTCTATTAAAGAAATGAAAAAATTGAGATACGTAAACAAATGAAGTGTTGTTCGTAAACGTTTAAGTATACTGTATATTTTTGAGCGTATTTGAAGTGTGGAGAGCCAGTGAGGCATTCCAAGATCGCATTTCTAAGCTTGTAGCTAATAGCGCAATATTGTATGACATCATCATTTTCATTTTCATGAGCATTCAGTTCGACGCCGGCATCTTTAGCCGGCAAACGCTAATGAGTCAGCTGGTCGAGGCGTTTACAATCGGAAATATCTGGTAGAGATGCTCATAATGTTGTTTATTAATCTCTTGCAGCGATAACAATCCATCGGTGCCCTTGGCGGAGTTTGTTAACCCGCCCGATCCCACGGAGACCGAACCCTTTGTGCCACTGGTGGAGGCCAAAAAAATGAGCGATACCCCGCCAGTGGTGGCACCTGCCACGCCCACTGGCAATGGCACGCCCACCCAGGTGGCCAATGGTAACTCCACGGTGGCCACGAAACCCGCCACCGATGACAACAGCATTTTCTCAGTGTTTTATACGCTGGGCAAGAAGGTGGCCATCGTGGGTTCCATCTACCTGGTGGGTTACATGGGCTGGTCGGTGGCCTGGCTGATTGCCCCCGTCATCCTGTCGGTGGCCCGCGACCAGTTGGCCAAGACCTCGGCGAAGAAGCGGGACATTGCCAAGGCCTCGGCTCTGGCCTCCGAGAAGGACGTGATCCTGGCCAGAATCGACGAGCTGCCCGCCTGGGTCTACTTTCCCGATGTGGAGCGCTGCGAGTGGCTGAATAAGGTATGTCTGTCTCCCAAGAACTTAACCTGGAATCTACAAAAATTCCGAATAAATTACGGAAAACATGTATGCAAAAAACAAACATAAAATGTCCATTATTCGGTTTCAAATATATACGTTATCAACTTAATTCCCATTATGTTTCTAAATATATTTCTTATCAAAGAAATTCCTTAACCGAAAATCTTAGTTTATCTAGATAAAATTCTACAAGTCTTAAGAACAGCAAGCTGAGCTACTTTTAAATTTTTTAAATTACATATATAAAATTTTAAATATGGGAATAATTTTATATTTTTTTAAAAATCCATTTAGTATCTTATTTAATCTCCTCTTTTCAGATCCTCAAGCAAGTGTGGCCCAATGCCAATCACTTTGCTCGCACTTTGGTGAAGGAAACCATCGAACCCAATGTGGCTTTGGCTTTGGCCAACTACAAGATGAATGGATTCCGCTTCGATCGCATAATCCTGGGCACAATTCCTCCCCGAATCGGAGGAGTGAAAATTTACGACAAGAACGTGGATCGTAATGAGATTATAATGGACCTGGATCTGTTCTATGCCAGTGATTGCGACATCAACTTTTACTTGGGTGGAATGAAGGGTGGCATCAAGGACTTCCAGATTCATGGATGGGTTCGGGTGGTGATGAAGCCTCTGATCCGATCGATGCCCCTGGTGGGCGGACTGCAGATATTCTTCCTGAACAATCCCAATATCGATTTCAATCTGGTTGGTGTGATTGATTTCATGGACATGCCGGGTTTGAGTGATTTGCTGAGGAGGATTATTGTGGAGCAGATTGGCAATGTGATGGTGTTGCCTAATAAGTTACCTATTTCATTGAGCGAAGAGGTTTCCGCAGTGGCTTTGAAAATGCCTGAACCAGAGGTGAGTTGGAAATAAAATACATTAATATATTAACTTTACAATAATTATAAAAATTAAGAGTAAATCATTAAGTATTTCAAATCCATTATTAATCGAATATCATATAATATTTATAATTTATGTATTTCAAAGAGGTGTTTAAATTGTGATTGAAATTACCAATAAATTTTCTAGGGCATCCTGCGCATTCACGTGGTTGAGGCCAAGGACCTGATGAAGAAGGACATTAGTGTTTTGGGTAAGGGCAAGTCCGATCCTTATGCCATCATCAATGTGGGTGCCCAGGAGTTCAAGACCCAGATCATTGACAACAACGTGAATCCCAAGTGGGACTTCTGGTGTGAGGTACGTATCCTGTAGAAGGCTCCTCCGCGGATCCTTTGGGATCCCGAGAGCTTGTTGCGTTGCTTTTTGTAGTCTGCTGATGTTGTCGATCGATTGCTGCATGAAAAAAAAACCAACACAAATCCACCGAATTCCTGCATAGTTTCTTGATTTGCCCTTCTGTTATTTCCGATTTTTATTTTTCATTCTTTTATCACTTGAATAATTTGCCTGGCGCCTAAAAACAGGCAACAGTTTTTATTGAAATGGGTCAATTTGTCGAGATTCAAGTGAAGGACTCGGATGATTCCAAGAAAGACGAACCCCTGGGCAGGTAAGCTATATTTTTTATTTAAACCTCGTTTTTTTAGTTAGAACACCAACACGCAACTGCACCCCTTGAACAAAAAACAACCAGTGAGTAATGTTTGTCGATTGAATTGAGAGCTCTTTTTTGCATGACGCCGCCGAAAACTGAAAATTGACAGGCAATGTTTTCCTGTTTTTCCTGTTTTCCTTCTTGTTTGTTCTCCGTTTCGCTCGGCTCTACGGATTAAATACTCTTTTCTCAACTTTCTACCACCCGAATTACACTCACACATTTGTTTTTCTAGGCGTGTATTTTTACCACCATAGGCCACTATATTGGGTTTTCTTTGTGGGACTATGATCAGACAATGCCAGGTGTACAGAGCGATGATGTATTGGGCAGGTTGTATGCCGCATGAACTGCATTCCCAACTCGTTTGTTTGTTCTTTCTTGATTTTTGTTTGATATTTATATTTCTTGATTTCGATTTACCCTCTGAATGCGTTTACTAACAAGCACTGAAAAAACACAAGCGAAGTGATGAGATAATTGGCATTGAGTGTGAACTAAATATTTAATCCACTAAATGAAACGTAAACTAAAATCAGCATATCATAAGTGGAATTTGGTTTCTTATATTATACTATAAAACTTGTTAATATTAATTCAAACTTTACTAATTTATTAAAGAATGACATCTTGGCAATATATATTCTCATCACTTTCGCAATACCGACATAAGCTGACACAACTCGACTTAAGTGAACTAATTTGCATGCCCTTTGACATCTGTTGTTGAACCACAAGCGGAATGCTGGAGCACTTTGAACCACAGACACACAACAAGAAGCAAGAACCACCGGCATGCCAATGAACCAACTTGTAGTTAGATCCAGACTCTGTATATAAACCCAACTGAGACCGTAGTGTGTGTAGATTTTGCGCTGGAACTAATCACTAATAATGCGATAATGTCTTTTACCCCGCTTTTGGTTCGATCGAATTTATGGAAACAGGCTGTGGTCGAGGTCTCGCAGCATGCAATACTCGTGCTCAGACTTTTTGACTGGGATCGCACTAGTGATGACGAGTCGCTCGGCAGGTTAGGCAACCATTGATTGATTGATTGATTCGACACGAAACGAACACCCACCACAACAGAAATCTGACACACTTTTATCCCAAGAACTCCCACAAACAAGAACTCAGAACAAGTTATCCGAAACAGCTTGAAATTTAAGGGGACAAACTAATTTAACCTATTATTAATTGTTTGATTTTTTTAATTGTGCTTAAAAGTAGCGATCCTTCTTACTAATTTAACTATTTATATAACAAAAACAGAGCCAGCATCGATATTGCCAGCGTGATCAAGAAAGGCGTTGTTGATAGTGTGAGTAAAATATGATTTTTCTCATGGTATAATCTTATTTATTTTTTATTTATTCTTTATTAAGTGGCTTACTTTGGAAGATGCCAAGCATGGACTCCTTCATGTTCGTTTGCAGTGGTATAAACTCACTGCCGATTCCAATGATCTGCAACAAATCCTGTTGGAAACTCAACTGCTACGCGTTACCTCCATGAGTTCGGCTGTTTTGAGTGTTTTCATTGACTCCGCCAGGCATTTGAAGGTTTGTTTATATAATCAACTTCTATCTAAAACATTTAATAATATAAAACCTCAACATTCCAGCAAGCTAGATCCAGCTCCAAGCCAGATCCTTACCTCGTTTGCAGCGTCAACAAACAAAAACAGCAGACCGCAATGATAATGCGAGATGATTCCCCGGTTTGGGAGCAGGGATTCACTTTCTTGGTCGCCAATCCCGATAACGAGAGTCTGAACATCAAGATTTACGATCAAAAGACCGGAAATGATATTGGCCAATACACCTACACACTGAGCACTTTGCTCAAACAGTTCAACATGGAGGTCATCCAACAGCCCTTCCAGCTGCAGAAGTCTGGTCCCGAATCGAAGCTCTATATGTCGCTTTCTTTGCGGATCCTGAAACCCGGCGAGATCGACAAGGAGTCGGATGCTCTGGAACAAGTGGCGGCCCTCACACGCAGCAGTTCTGTAAAGACTCCAGAGGTGGCTGCGGTGACCACACCAGCATTTAAGGTGGGTTTAAAATTTAATTCAAAACATCATAATAATCAAAGACTAAAAAAACAGAGAAGCCCAACAATCTATTTGATTAATGCAATTTAATTGTCGTTTAACTGATACATTAGTCAGTTGATAAAAATCTATTTGGAAAAGATTTGTTGACAATTTTGGTAAAAATCACTATATTTTTAGTAATTTTTCGGTTGTAAAAAGGAAAAATAGTGACTTACAGCGGAACCAAATACTATTTTGAGCACCTTATGACCAATGTTAACAAGTCCTATCACTTTTTAAACGATTTAAAAAAAATGATTTTTGGCCTATTTTTGCATTTTTGGTAATTTTCCATTTTTTGCGAAAAATTGCAATTTCAAAATTTTTAGGTGTGGATGCTATATGATTTAGAATTTTCTTACGAATTACGATAAAGGCAAAAAACGAAGTTTTAAAATGATTTTTTGCAATTATAGAATAGAAAGTATTTAAGAATTTTATTCAATAATTCCGTAAGAGGTACCTCTTAAAAGATTATAGATGCTAGACACGAAACACCCTATGGCAAAGTGCTGATTCAACGTCCTCGATAGTATAGTGGTTAGTATCCCCGCCTGTCACGCGGGAGACCGGGGTTCAATTCCCCGTCGGGGAGAATCGAAGATTTTTTTTTTTTCATTTTTATATTATCAGAACAATTTAAAATTTTTTATTTTATTTTATTTTACCTTTATATATGTTCATTATTTTACCTTCAGGAATCTCAGGCATCCAGCAAGCGTTTGTCTGCCGAGTCGCCCATCAGCGAGGAGGACCCCGCGGTGGCCACGAAAATCTCCCCAGCCATGTCGGCCTCCACCTCCAGCGAGAAGCCGATCAGCGAGCTGGCTGCCTCTGTGCTGACCCACCGCTTTCCGGACACCACGTCTTCGCCCGGTGAGCACGGCCTGGGAAGGATGCAGCTGTCGATTAGATACAGCGCCCAGCGCCAGAAACTGGACGTGACCATTCACAAGATCCAGAAGATACCGCTTCGCGATCCGAGCAATATACCCGATCCGTATGTGAAGCTATACCTGCTGCCGGGTCGAAGCAAGGAGTCCAAACGCAAGACGGGCGTCATCAAGGACAACTGCAATCCGGTTTACGATGCCTCCTTCGAGTACCTGATTTCCATAGCCGAACTCAGGCAGACGGAACTCGAGGTGACGGTGTGCACACAAAAGGGATTCCTATCCAGCGGCAGTCCCATCATTGGCATGGTAAGAATCCTTGTGCTTAAACCACCCCTATTTCGCTGCACATCCTTGTAATTCCCAAGTGCATATTCCGCAAGGATGTAATATAAATAGGGAGGCAGGCCACGTGAACTTCGTTCTTGCTTCGGCAGAACATATACTAAAATTGGAACGATACAGAGAAGATTAGCATGGCCCCTGCGCAAGGATGACACGCAAAATCGTGAAGCGTTCCACATTTTTTGCCCTCCTAACATTCGTTTTATGTTTTGTACTTTCAGCTGAAAATAGCCCTGGATGATCCGGAAATCACCACACAAGCTGGCTTGAATTCGTGGTTCGACTTGCAGCCTGAAATAAGGCACGAGTAGGGAAACCGGAGTCGAGCGAATGCGGAGTCTCATTACAGCACAATCAACTCAAGAACAACTTAACACTTTTTTACCAATCGCACTTAAAGCCTTTTGTATTTGTTATGTGTATACTTTACATGGTTGGCCCCCTAACCAAAACCAAACAAAACTCTCTTAGTCGTGCCTCTATATTTAAAACTATCAATTTATGTAGTCAAATAAAACGAACTGTGTTTTCAACAAAAAATTACGAGTTTTTTTTATTGATTTTTTTTATCAGTCGGAAGTTTCCATCAATAGCAATGTTTACCTTAAATTGTTTGCTCATAAGGAACTGTCTACCTGGCTAACTGCTAAATCCAATGACAGAGGATCCTCCCTAAAATTTACCTACGTCTTCATATAATTCCCAACTGCGAATTCCTTTGTTTGTTCATATATAAAGGACTATACTGAAGCGTACTTCGTTCTTGCTTCGGCAGAACATATACTAAAATTGGAACGATACAGAGAAGATTAGCATGGCCCCTGCGCAAGGATGACACGCAAAATCGTGAAGCGTTCCACATTTTTTTGATCCTTCCATGCACGCGATTTAGGAAACTTAAAAAAAATATGTACAAATTATATTTATATAAAAAAAATAATTTTTAAATTGTATTCTAACTTTACTCAAGTTCATCAATGGATTTCCATTATTATATCAACATAAAAAATAATGCTAGTTTAACAAAAACGAACAGCAATATAATTCCAACATATTACGTTATAAGGTTACGTTGCAGACATTTTACATCTTACGTTATCTACAGTGAGATGGTGTCAATACGTCAAGCTCAAAAGATAGGGGGCGCTACAAATTTTGGTTTCTTACAATTCTCAACTGCGATTTCTGCAAAGTGTTCGTATAAATAAGGTACTTTTCAAGCTAACATCGTTCTTGCTTCGGCAGAACATATACTAAAATTGGAACGATACAGAGAAGATTAGCATGGCCCCTGCGCAAGGATGACACGCAAAATCGTGAAGCGTTCCACATTTTTTTGCCAACCTGCAGGCGGAAAGTAAACAAGAACTCGCACTTTGGTTTTCTGCTTTCGCCATTATTTATTATATTTCATCAATATGTATTCAATTTGGTATGTATTTTGTAATGTTTATAGATAGACAATTGTTTTCCTTCGACGTACATACATCTGACGTGTGTTTATTTAGACATAATAGTTATGTTTTCACTTTAACTTTTAATGCATATGCATACAAAATTTTAAATTTTCAACACAGTTGTTTTGTTTTTGTTTTCATCATTGTTTATTCATATTCTGGTGTCATTTAATTTTTTCCAGCTTGGACTTTTCGAAAAAATTTGTATTTTTTGTTTGGTTCTGGTAATGCACTTGTTAAAAGGACTTCAGTTTTTCGTTGTCTGTTCTCCAGAACTTTATCAAGTGCATTAACTATTCGGCTGGCCGAAGAACTATCTAAGTTGAATTGATTTTTTCGTATCATACCTAATTTTTAAGAATTTGAAAATACATAATTATGCATTGTTATTAATAAAGATATATATATGCTTTAAATGGACACATGAATCAGGCTCTTGGTTTTTATATATTCATATAAATTATATTTACTTTTCAAATTGTATCTTCTGCTTCTTTACCGAATATGAAACTTGAACTTCTTTTCCAACGTATTTTGAGGTAGTTTGCTTAGTTTCGTTATGTATATAAAAGTTATTTTCTCTGAAGCACATTTATATAAAGCACACACATTTACATATCCGTTACATTTAGGTATACATTTTTTGTTTTTAATATATATTTAATATGTTAATTATACAATATTAAACACTGAGGAACTGTCGTGCTTATTTCAATGCTGCTTCGCCTTGAATTCTTTCATTACTCTGTACTTTTTACACAAAGCCAACCTAAAACCTGACTTAAATATGATATATGCATAGTTCATACATAATCTGCGTTTTTGCTTGCGCTTGTACTTTGTGTGTGGTTCTATGTATATATACTATATATGGGGTGCCCGCCAGCCCGATGTTTTTCTAAAATTCTAAATTGTAATTTTGAATTCTTATCACTTATGTAATGAGTTTAAGCTCCCAAGACATGAATTTGAAAACCCTAAAAACTGATGGCCAATTTTGTGTGTTGATTTTTAATTAATGTGCGCTCAATCGGTTTTTTGTTATATTCTTTTTCTTTTTTTTTTTTTGTTAAGGCTAGATTAACAACTACAATTTGTTATTTCCACGTGTTCATCGCTGTGGGTGATACGAGTACCTAGTTCTAAGTTTTTAACTTGAATCACTTTTGTAATTTGTATTTTCGTTCTCATTCTCGTTCTGTTTCTGTTACCCTCAGTTAGAATGTAGGTTTCCCTTTCGAAAGTTAATTCTTTTGATATCAATTGAACACAACACGTTAAGCAACAAATAGCAGTAAGAAAGGCTTCAAACAGTTAATGGAAAACATAACCCAAAATAAGATAAGCCCGCCCCAAAGAACTACACAACAAAGAATTTGAATACAAATATCACAAAATTAGCATCGAAGCAGAGCAAAAACATTCATTTCGATAATGCAAATTAGAATAAAACTCAAAGTGGTATTACTTTTTTGTTTGATGTTTTTTTCTTATATTTTTTTTTGTTGTTTTTGAGTAGCCCGCAAGTGAAAAGTAAAACTGAAGCCTTGAAAATGTTTTCATGTGTGCCTAAAAATTAATAATTATGATTTATATTGAAGGTATTTCATAAGCAAATCGTATGGGTAATAGAAAAACTTAAGACTATTTCATTCTCAGTTATTGAGTTCAAGCATGATCTACAGTTAACATCAAGAAATAAAAGCATAAAAAGAAAAATTAAAATTATATCACCACGCATGTATGTATATGTATAGATAGTTATAGCGTAAAAGTAAATTAATCAAGCTTCGCGAAACGTTCTTCTTCAGAAACAATCAAACTTGCTTTAACAAAATGGAAAACTTAAAAACGACAACCTAGGACCGTAAAATATTTATATATATTGGATGAGGGCCAAAACAACTAGAATTACCGATAAATGTAATATGTAGGTATATATGTTCTAAATAAAAGCTCTCTCCACATTGTGTTAAATTTAAGAACTAAGACTAAAACATTGAACCAAATTATACAGCGTTAATATAGCATTTAAAACTTAAACAGATAAATCGCAGTTGTATATAACTTATTCTCGAAAAAATGATTTTTAGCATTCCAAATTATTTGTTTCTTTCCAATCGAACCGAATGAATGAACTCAAACCCTTATTCGTTAAGCAGGTAAAACTGGTAGCGAAGTCCTACAAAATTCACTTGCTCTAACACTCCGTCGTTTCTTAACAATCTTAACAGCTAAACAAAATTTTGTATTTTTACACATTTCCTCTTCAGTTTCATTTTGTGGTTGCCTCTTTCTTTACGTTTTTGTTTTTGTTTTTCTTTCTGTTAATGTTGCATTTTCAAAAGGAATTTTCTTTTCTTTCTTTTGTTTTGTTTACGTTTGTTTTGGCTCTGGTCTTCCGGATTCGGTGTGGTCGGCAAAAAAGTAAAAAATATTTTCTTCTATTTCCTGCCATAGAAAACATATAAAGCCCAGGCTCATTAAATCACAGTTATATCTCGGTTATCAATATTATATCACTCAAGCAGAACTATTTAACAGAACGTTTTGTTTTTCAGGAGGGAGATGGACTTTGATCCAAATCCAATTGTCATTCTGTCCTAGAATGGATTTCAGTTTTTGGTGGCGTGGTTATGGTTGGTGGCTGTTGTTTCGGGCATCTCTCTCTTTGTATCTCTCTTAATTGGTTAAAACTAATCTTGATGGGCGGTTCGTTAGCTTTAGATATTCTTCTGCCTTTGGCCTACGACGACTTGCGCAGCTCCTCGAGGCCTCCGTTCGGCATTCCGCCGCGCATGTTTTCCAGCACCTTGTTCACGAAATCCGTCGAACCACCCGCAATGCGAATTCCAGCTGTAAAAATGAGGGGAATCTCATTAAATTGGTTTTATTATAGAAAGGTAATTAGTGTGCTTACACGAGGCGGTGTTGTAAATGCGTGCAATTTGTTGGTCCACCTCCTCGGTGGATTCGCCCAGATTCTTGGTGCGATGCTTGACAGCCAAGGCTTGTTTTAGCTCGGCAATGCCATTTATGAGGCGCTCTATTATAGGAATACAAATTAATGTTAGTTATATTTCATATTAAATTGAAATGGTTTTGTTTCTACTCACTGTGTTCAATCTCAAGGCCGAAGAGCTTGATTTTGTTGGCCTCGTGCTGGGCCTTCTTCTTCAGGCGACAGGCGCGGGAGGCCAGCTTGTTCTTCTCCTTGCGCGACTTGGGACGCACGTTGAAGGGCAGCTCGGAAACCGGTGTCATGTCGTTGATGGTGCGGCTCAGCTTGTCCAGCTCCTTGCCGATGTTGTGCAGCTTCCTGGCATTCGGTGTCAAATCGTTGCCATCTCCTTTGCGAGCTTTGCCACTATGCTGTTTTACGAGAAAAAGGAGGAATTAATATAAATACTTTAACTTGGAGTATCAATTTAACTTACCTTGTAAACCTTAATGCCTCTCACAGAGCAAGTGGGACTGAAGACCGGATCTGTGACCTCATTCAGCACATGGGGATCCTCGAGCTTCGATTGGAAGACCAGCCTCTTGCCCTTCGGTCCTTTGGCCTGGACATTGTACTGCCAGAAGAACCTCTCCTTTCCCTTGCTGCTGGACAAATGATTCGGCGTCGAGGTGCGCGTCTCGTCCTCATCCCCGGATAACCCATTATCGCTGCTGAAGTCATCGTAGTTGTCGCTGTTCTCGCTCGAATTGTCATCCTCGTCGTCCTGCGAGAAGTCGATGCCATCCGGCGACAAAACACTGCCGGTGCTCAGCGACGAGAAGCTCTCGGCCTCGGCCAGCGAACCGGTGGAGAGTAAATGCTGTCGCGGCTCCCGTCGCATCCAGATGTGATCCAATCCCAGATGCGTGGGCGCCGACGAGCTGAGGCGACTCAGCTGGGAGCTCTCCACGCCGCTCTGATAGCCAAAGGACTTGCGTACCGATGATCCTGGAGTCTGATTACTGGTAGTTGTACTATTTCCGGATGCCGAACTTCCGAATCCACTGCTGCCACCCGGACTCAAGGCCGCCGACTGGCTGAGGATCGAACGCTCCGGCGGCGAGGACATGGGAAAGCCCTTCTTGATCAGCTCCTGCATGTTGCGCGACTTGACCATCTGGTACTGCGGTCGATTGGCGTGCGGCGGTGGCGGTGGCGTCAATGGGGATTGGGAGGCCTGGCTGCCCGGCGAGAAGCTGGCCGAGAGCTGTTGCTGCTGCTGCTGCTGCGGTTTCTGCGGCGTGCTGTGGTAGATCTCGTACGGACTAGTGGAGGAACTGTTTGTCGACTGCTGCTGCTGCTGTTGCTGCTGGCCGAGCGTGAGCAGTGTTTGCAACTGCGGCAGGCTGCCAACCTGCAACTGCTGCTGATTCTGCGGATTCACCTGCTGCTGCTGCTGCTGCTGCAGGAGTTCCATGGGCGGTGCCACCAGGGCATCCTGTCCTTGGCTCTGCGGCGACAGCAGAAAATTGACACTTTGAGAGACGGTGGTCTGCGGCAAGAAGTCCTCGATCCCAATCACATCCAGGAAGTCGCCACCATTTAAATCGGATAGATCGGCCGCCTGAATCTCGGCCTTGTCGTTGGGAAAGATGTAGTCATCGTCCAGGCTGAATGGCTCGTGTTTGGTATGGATAATGGCACTGCTGATATCACTCCACATGGCATTCGAATTGGGCGTCATCTCGTAGAGCAGCTCGTTCGGTGCGACGCCCTCCTGCAGCAGCACCTGTTCGCTGACCACATTCAAGCTGAGGCTGTGCGACATGTCCGGAGCAAAGTAGCCGCCACTGCCCCCCGATCCCAAGCCGTTGCTGCTGCCTGCTCCACTGGTGTTGCCGTTGTAGAGCGAGGAGTTCAGCGGCGAAGCTGCACTGAGGCTCACATCCTGCAGCAGAGTTGGCGAAAGGGAAGCGGCATCCAGAGCGTCCAAAGTGAAGTCCGACAGCTCGCCCAATGCCAAATGCGAGTGCTGCAGTTGCTCCTGCTGCTGCTGCTGGTGTTGCTGCTGCTGCTGTTGCTGCTGCTGCTGCAGACTGTGCTGCTGGTGGGTCATGCTGGGCAATGTGTGCAAGGGACTGGGATGGTGGCGCGGCGTCTGCAGGTCCAACTGCTGGTACGGATGATGGTGGTTCTGGTTGCTGCTCCGTGGTATTGTTATGGCCGTGGTGCTTAGCATTACATTACAGGTATTTGTGGTGCTGGTGGAGCAGTTGTTGCTGCTGCTGCTGCTGCCGCTGCCGCTGCTGTGACTACTGCTGTTGTTGTTACTATTATTATTATTGTTATTGATGCTGCTGCTGCCGTAGCCCGTGTTAATGGTCAACGTGGGCAGAGCCGCACCCACAACAGTGGAGCCCAGCGAATACAGATCGTATTTGAGTGTGTTGCTGCTGCTGTTCGATCCGGTGTCAAAGAATTCCGATGACATGGGATACAGCTGGTTCTCTGTCATTGTATTTAGTGGGTGAAAATCCCACTCTGCTCTAGGACTATAGCTACTTCTTCTTCTTCCTCCTGTCTCTCCTTCACAAGATTGGGCGCCCAGGCCCGACTTTGAATTGTGGTATCTGAAAGTAGGTAAGAAATGAAAACAAATCAGACAAGTTGCATTGCAAGCGGAGAAGGCAGAGCTGATTAGGCGAATATATTATGACTTTTATTATAGCCAGACAACCTTGGCGGCATTCTCAATTTCCAATCCCATTGACTGTTCGTTCGATTTACTTGTTACTGGTTTCCCAACTCCCATCAATTGAGACATTTTTACGCTCAGCCCAATTCCGATTATAGTGGCATATACATACATATACATATATGATATGCTAAGTGGCAAATGCAGCTGTTATCTAGACGGAACTAATGCTTTTGGTTCAAGGCGAGATTATAATTGATGGGCTCACGTGTTCAACAGTTGCCGGTTTCAACACGTGATTGAATTGATTACAGGGAAATATCTACATAAATTATGACGCGGAATGGTAAGCAGTAAAAACCCACAGAGCCATTAAAATAAATTAAATAATTATGATAAGACCTGACTTAATGTCAGTTGGCTGCTTTTCCTGGGAACTGTAACTTTCCCTATTCATTATCTCGTTATGGTTATCTAATCCCCTTGGCTTATAAAACTAATATCAAAACAACTCGCCTGCAGAGATAAACGCAATCTGTGGATGACTGAAGAATTTGCAAATCCAACTGCCAACTCAACACTATTCAGCATTTGTTATTGTTATGGTTATCGCTTCTTTAAAGGCAAACCTAAAAGGTAGACACAAAAAAATAAGTCCGATCCCCTCGATTTCTCTCCTCTCGACCAACACTTTTTACTGATTTGGTGAACAACACATTTTTTGAAAGCAAAAAGCCAGAGAAATCATCAACAGTTTTGTTTTGCCCATCGAAACAACAAATAGAACTGGCAAAAAATAAAAACAAAACAAAAAAAGGAATAAAAACATTTTGGGGAGCGCGAATAGGAAACAAGAAATGGCAAACTTTTAGCAAAAATTATTAAGCCATTTTCGGGTTGTATTCTTTATTTCTTTCTGTTTTGATTCGATTCTTGGGCTATATAGCATATATACCACTTATCGATCAGGTGAAAGGCCCCCGGGGAATTGAGGAACCGGTGGTGCCAGCTATTGTTGTTTTCCATTTTGTGGCTCGATAATAAATATTAATTAGTTTGTTTACAAATGAAAATACAACATTCTCATTTTCCATTTAATGTTCATAAATCAGGAACGTAAAGTGCATCTAGTATAAGGGATTTGGCACAATTTGCGCCGTGCATTTGGAAAATTCAAGGAAATGGCCTTGATTTACCTCCTCATTTTAATTAAAGGTGAACCGGAAAAGATTATGGAAACTTATTTGTTTGGTTGTTTCAAAGAGAAGCCTCTTACTTTTCAGTGGAAAATGTTAAGTGTCACTGTAACTATTTATTGTAGTTTGGCCTCCACAAATAGTCCCCTTCACATAAATAAACCATAGTTTCCCCCATATTATTCAATAGCATAACGAACTCTATCTTGATCCCCCCGATTGGCTTATCATTCATTCATTACAACCGATAAGTGAACAAATTCCAGATGATAAGACCCCCCATTTTACATGAACCAATGCGGCAGTTTCGATTTGAACTTTGTAATGCCCGTTCCCAAGACGTGAAGGTCACTCGATGTGTATACATACATACATATAAATAGTAAAGAGAGAAGGGCGGCGGGATGTGAAGTGGGGAGCCTCTCGATATATGTACAAGGCAAACACACAAATACAAACTCAAGCCCAGACCAAATTCTACTTTTGCTAAGTGATATGCTTGTCTCTCTGGTTTCTTTACATTATTGCTATTTCCTCTTGAAATTGTTTAATATTCGTCAAAGGTAGCTGAACGCGTTGAAGGCCAAACAATAAAAAAAAAGGCCGAGAACCGAACGAGCCAAACACCAAAACATAGGAACCGAAACCCGAATGGGGCGCTTGTATATTATATTATATACCCTCCAAAACCGAGTATCAAACATGGAAATAGACGCGAAGGGGCGAATAAAAAGAATTTATTACAGATTGGTTGCCGAAAACGAAAAAAAAAAATAAACACGAAAAGCCCCAAGTGGAATCGTACGAAAAAGTCAAGAAGACGAGCAAACACTGGAGGAGCACACCATAAAAAAGCAAAAAACAACAACCATTTCTATATAATGAATAATAGTATTAAAAAAATTCCCCACGCACACAGACACAAGGAGTTAATGAACGCGAAATGTTTGGTGGGGAGAAACGCCAGATAGTGAAAACGGCCAGCCGACGAACATCTGATCCAAAGCATATGATATCGCAGGCAGAAGCGCGAGAATCGAGCTAAGTAAATATGAATAAGAATTATAATATCTTCATATGCGCGTATCTACAGGTTATCTTCCCTATCTTGAAACCTGGTAGGGTAATTTTTTGTGAAAAGAAGGTTCATTTACCGTTATATCAGTACTTGGGTATTTTGATTAGGGCTATTAGTCACCAGGTTTACTATTAAAACCTATTTGGTTATTCGAATTAAAAGAATAGACATGAATTTTTCCATCAGTAGGCAAAATTAATTCAGATTGTATCTTAATGAGCCAAATAAAGTAATTAAAACCGAGTGGGATGCACGTGTTGAACGCTTGGAAGATAATTTAAGTCCGGGGTAAAGTACATTTTTCAATTCCGAGGCGTGACCAATATGCACGTTATGTGACTAATCCCGAACAACGAATGGGAAAAGAAAATAAAAACAAGTCGAAATTAAATTTCAGTGATATTATAAACACATGTACGGGTCGTACCAACGATTTCAACACACGATGAAATAATGCAATAATAATAATCGAGGAAAGCGAGATATAAAAAAAGGTTAGCGTGGATTGCTATCAACAAATTAAGTGAAAGAGAGCCGGGAGAGAGCAGCGATGGGAGAATTCGAATTTTAAGCAAGCCCAAGGTCAAAACTGTTTATTTTTTATATTTTGTTTTGAATGTATAATTTATCGCAGAGTTGCCTTTGTTTTCCACTCGCCATACGGGGAAATAAGCTTTAGAGTTGTAAACAAAACGCGACGCTTGTAAATAAAGAAGAAGCTTTTGCGAGAGCGTGGGCGCTATTGTTGTTGCTCTCTTTCTCTCTCTCCGTTTGGAACTGAGCAACATATGTTTTCCGTCTATTTGCTTTTGTCGCCATCTTCGTAGACTTTAGTTATTTATATAGCCATGTGTACACGTGTGTATATAGTGTTTGTGTAGGGTATATAATATATATGATATTAAGCTTTCTGTAGCTTTGCCTGACTGACGAGTTTTGTCTGTTGTCGTTTTTATTGTTGCTGTTTACAATAACAAAATGGAAGCTTTTACATTTCGCCAGAATTTATACTAGATGGGCATGGGACGCGAGTGTGTGTTTGTGGGATTTCATGTGCCTGTAGATTGCGCTATATACATATTTATAAGTGTAGAGCGTTCTAAGGGTATATTTGCACGATTGGAGACACAAGTCCACAAAATACAGATGAGGAAGTGGAAATTCTTAAGAAAGCAAAGATACCAACTTTTCACAAAAATTACTCATACGTCACGTTTAACAAATTTCGTCAGGTCCACGTATGAGTAATAAAAATGTATATTGGCTTAAAAACTTTTAAATACTTGTTCTGAACTGGTTTTCTGGTTGTTTACAAATATTTCAATTAACATTTTGAGATCAGCTTTTGCAAACTATAAACAATAAATTTTTGTTCAATGATAGAATTATTTATATAGAATCTACAAATGCTGCTTTTTCCACTTTCTATTCTACGTATTTTTCACACTTTGCAAATACTTAGATCCATATTTAGATTAAGTCCAATCAGCCGAGCACTACACGTTTGCATTATCAATATTTTCTAGTGGGTGATGTAAAATTGAGTTCAAAGCTGACACGAGCTCACAACAAAAACAATTAACTAGAAATTAAAATAAAAACAAAGGCAAAAAAAAGAGTAAGATCGCGAACCGCTGGTCGGGCGCAACTTCCGTTCCGCATTATCAATGGGTCAGTGGCAGTGGTGGTCAATGCCTGATGCGGGGGTTTCGATGGGGAATATGTAGGTGCTCTATAATTTCCATCTGCACCCGCCCTTTTCCCGCGCTGTGCTCACTGGTTTGTTTTTGTCAACATTCGTCATCAACCGTCACATGTTCCGACTGCATGCAGTTTTTTCCCTCTAGTGCCCTCCCTTTCACACAGATTTCCCGTTTCTTTCGAACAGAAGACTTTTGCACAGAGGCTTACTCATAGGGGGTTTCAAATACACATTAAAGAAATACAAATAATTTCTTTGATTCAGGTAGAGTATGTACTTGAAACTTTTAACAGAGGTCGGCTACCTTTAATTATAACTCTAATTAGTCTTTATTACCCTGACAACGACAAAACCCCTTGTGAAAATCCTGCATACGCCAGAGTTCTATAGCCATTTCTTTGTTTAGCAATTTGTGCAAGTCACTTTTACCTTTGTCTATGTCTCACTCTTTGCTCTAATTTTAGGAACACGCAATTTTTGCATGCACCCACACACATTGGGAAAATTACCAGTCCAACAAAGAAAGCACCCACACAGTGATAAACAAATTTATGTTGAGGTAGCCACAGAGCCAAGTGCAAGTTCCTTCAACTTATTTATAGTACCACCGTTTAGTGGGGGCATAAAAAAACCAAATTTATGCACAGTAAGAAAATGTTTTATGTTTTCTTAGGAAGAAAGAATAATATAGCATACATATAAGATACTTTACGCAAAGATACCACAATATACAATCAACCAAATTAGAATATTTAATTTAAGCATACAATAGCCAGACAGAGATATCTTGATTTTTCGTTCAGTGAACTTTATTGCGAGCATGCTAGGTATTTGGGTATTCGATTCTAGCACTTATTTAGTATTCATATGCCGGAATGTTTAGCATAGCATAGCGAATGTCTGGCAATTGATGATATAACACGCTCTGTCGCGTTCGGTTTTTGTTTTGCTTTTCGTTTTATACTTTATACTTCTTATACAAACAGCTGACGTAAATTGTAAATTGTTGTATTGATTAGAAGAGGAAGAGCGGGGCAAGGCATCGATCAGCGAACTCAGGGAAGTATAGTAAGTACACACATGTTCGCCGGAGGTGAGAGATCTAGGTTAGTATATATGTAGGGAGCGTATCAATTTGCATTTCAAACTAAATTTCCATAGTTTAGCTAACACTTTGAGAATCGCACAGAAAGGTCGAAGAATGCCTGAACCCCCTTGAACCCAAGATCTAGATTCGCAATTCACTGTTGACCAGGTTCCAAGTTACAACTTTACATTTCCGAGATACTATCTACAAAATGGGTAAAGTTAACTTTTGAGATCCACTTTTAAGACCCTTTTTAAAGGGGTGCGCCATTAAAACATTCTTTACATTCTTTATAAAAAAACAAATAATAATAGAAACATATGTATAATAGATGATAATTATGAAAGCAACTCAACTTCTGCTGCTTTGACTAATTAATATAAAAATGATACGATTGATTGATCCAATACTTTCGCAATTGAAATTCCAAAAATACCTCTACTCAGCCACCCTGATCTTCACTTGCTATCCACAAACCCCCACGAAGGCAGCCAATCAAACACAGTACAACATGTTTGCTTCCCCACCGATTCGCTAATAGATAAATAATTAAAATCAATTTATATCGATTTAGCAGCACAAAAAGAAATTAGCACAAGTCGTCTGAATACTTAAACAAACAGAAGATGCTACTCGCAGGCACTCTTGCTGAATAGAAATCGAATCGATATGAATCGTGACTACAGAGTCTGAGTTTGCTTTTTAAGACCGCTGATACAACAACATACGTCTGTAGACGACTAGACAAATAGAAATGCATTTGCAAAGGGTTCCGTAGAATCTGGCGTCTGGCAGTGGTGACGTTGTTGTTTCCTCAAATCGACGAGGAGGAGGCAGGAACACGTGAGCCGACGACGGAGCGATTCTCGCGCCTCCTTATCGAGTGGCAAGACTCCCTCCTCCAGAGGCGTCTGCCCCGTCAGCTGTCGCTGTCGCGCTTTTGACTCCGCCGCTTATCAGCCAACAGCCGCGTGCCGGCAGACACGACAATGGAGCACTGATAAGCGCTGCGCTCAATGGGTCAGCCACTTGCAAATTTTCAGAGCTGTCCCCTAACATTTTTAGGGGTGGCACAAAACTGTGGCCAACTTATCTTATCGAGCAGCCGCGAATAAAGAGATAAACCAACACACAAGATGGCAAAAAGAAAAAAAAAAGCGTATGTTTTTTGTTGGGCGACCAAAATGAAAACCTATTTTCGGTTGAGGAAGTTTACGCCCCCGCATGGGTTATTTTTACACTACCCAAGCAGAACGGTCCCTTCTACGAACTGACCCAAAAAAAAAGGGATCACACAACCAATGACCAAACACCGGGTAAATAAAAGCACTCATGACTCACAAGCACTTAAAAAATCAAGAGACAGCCACACAAAAAACCATTGATATGAATATGTATATCTGTGTTTAAAAATTTTTGCTAAAAGATATTTCAAAGAAAAGCAAACAAGTTTGCTTAATAGCCGCATCCGCGGAACACAGCCTCTCTGGAAAGATCACAAAAATCTCCCCCCAGCGGCAACAAAGAAAGTTGAAGGCCAGCAAAAGCAAATGACCGTATATAGACTATATAGTCAGCAATTTCAACAAATGATAATATGTAAAAGTCTGTTTCAAACAAACCGATTGGAAAGTAAGCAAATAAATAAAATTAAAAGCAAAGTTTTGCCCGTTTTATGGGGAATCAAGATCATGATGCAATATCATCAGATTGATAGATCATCCGCAACAGCTGTGTGTAAGTCTTTTTATTTCGACAACATGTAAATGAATTATGACATCTATGTATAAACAACTATTAGAACCTGTTATGATAAACACTTCCACTGACAGCTGACTTTATGTGGCTTTTGAAAAATGATAGTATAACTGATTGGTGAATTAATTCTATTTAATTTTCATTTCAATGCTAGAGAAATACAAAATGATAAAGGTATTAGAAATTTCCCAGTAAAACGAGTATAGTCCGGATTTTTTTTTATATTGCTGCTTGACCTTGTCAACCACTTTTGGTGAAATAAAAGCCATATCAGTATTCTAATCACTCAAATCAAACTTAGCTCTGCCCTAATTTATATTTTTTTTTCGTTATTTCGCCAGCCTGTTTTTATTGAACACCATTTTGCTTTATGGCTCTTATCGGTAGCGTAACTATTGAGTCACTGCAAATATTATAGCCATTGCCCAAGTTAAGTTGGCTCGAACCGAGAGTTCAGCATCCAATTAACTGATGTAGCAGCTGGACGCAGGGCGTATACGTAATGTTGTGGCGCCTGGAAAACTTCAAAACTGGCTCCAAGTTAAGATAAGGGGTAAGTGGATTGTTTCGGGTTTCTTGTCTAGTATTTTTATCTGAAGTTTACCCAACATATGGCAGCTCTTAAGACTCCACTATCTTGTCGCTACTCACGTGTTGACGCTTTTGTTGTTTTTGTATGTATTTTTTGTGTTGTATTTTATTTCTTGTACGAAGTCAACAGTTTTCAACCTTGAATTTTCGCACTGACACTGAACTCAAGCCGAGCGAACAAAATTCAAATTGAAATCAATTTCAATTTAATTTTTTGTTGCCATACACAGCAAATTTTTGTTGATTTTCTTTTGTTTCTTTTGTAAGTGTCTGTGTGTTTGCCTTTGATTATTTGCACAAATGGGAAAAAAATAGACAGCAAGAAACCCCTCCAGAAGAGGGAATAAAGGCCTGACAAGATTCATATAGAGTATTTATCCCACAACATTTGGTGGCCCCTTGGCGACCAAAAGATTCTGTTGACGAGACAGGAAACGCTTAACTTGAGCCGCTATCAAGCCGCCTAAACAGTGTGCTCGATACATAAATAAAACTCGGAATGTTTATAGGTTTATGTGCTGTGCTTGGCTCTTTTTTTTTTTTTTTTTGTTGTTTTATTTGCTTCGGTTTTGGTTCGGTTTAGTTTTTCGTTTTTGGGGGCCTCACATTTCAATGGGCAGACTAGATTTCGATTTAAAAATTTTCGGTTTCCCTATTGGGAACCGGAGCTTGGGGAGCCCCCTTCTGGCCTGAGTTAATTTTTTAATTGGTCTGTGTGATCATAAATTACCAGTATGTCGGCTTAGGAAAATGAGGAGAAAACACAAATGAGGGCTTCTTACAAATTGTAATGTCTGTGTAAGAAAGTTGTGAACTTTCCAGATTTATGTCGGATACTTTAATGAACCCATAAATATTTTGTGGAAGTCCACAAGAGTAGGTCCAAACATGACCAAAAAAAATTTGTATGCTGTATTTATACACCATTGGTTAATTTAAAACCAGATCATCAAAAATCACTTTTACGAATTTTGTATTTTTAAAAAGTTTTAAACCTAATTTGAAAACCTATATAAGGTTAAGCTTTCCCTGTCTCCCTGTTTTTATCACCTTTCTATATGGTGTTCACTGAGATTTCATTTATAGAAAAGAAAGATTATTTTGATAGGCCATTATTTTTAATGTTTGGTTTAAACTTCTTCGTTTTGTGTTTTTTGTTATGGATTATATGGGGTCGTTTAAAAATCTTAACACAGTTTTTATATTTGAATGAGTAGGTATGTATATTCTTACCCACCTTATCTGCTTCTTTCCTTTTTCCACCTCGTTGCGTATAAACAAGCCAGAAAATGATGCTATGCTGATTTGCTGTAAAAGCGTTCTTTTTATTACTTCCTCGAAGATTTTCAATTAAATGCACACGGATTAAACATTTCCCTCTGGCGGTGTTTACAAATTAATTGATATTGTATTTTTGTTTAATTTTTCCTCATCCTCATCCTCGTTTTTCGCTTTTCGTTATTAATTATTATGTATGGTGCGGTCCACGTTTATATGTAAATTTCATTGTTATTTTATGCGTGCGTGTGAGTTGGTTTTTTAACTAGGTCACACATGTGGCGATTAAGACAAAAATTTATTTTTATTGAAGCACATTCGTAGTATATCATCCAAAGCACAATACACCAAACTAAACACTCAGTTTATATGAATTTTGATAAGAGGGGAAATCTTATCAGCGGCGACAAAGTCGTTTTTTTAATTTATTATTTCTGTTGTCCCGTACATTAACTGCGGGTTGGCACTCAATACGTTTTGTGAAACTCGTTTCTAAATTGATGGCAAAAATTTACAACAAATTGTGATTAGCTTTGTTAGCTTATTCTGCCTTTATTCGCGTTTTGTTGTCAATTTTGCGGTTTGTTTTCCAAGTTTCGACCGAGCAGCTGAGCGGTAAGCGCACAACTGATCGATGGGGGAGAGCCAAAAAGAGCGGGACCGAAACTTTGGCGCTTTTGGCTCTCTCTCTCGCTTTTCTCAAGTGTGTGGGGTTCTAATAAGAATTTATATATGTACGCATACAGCGCGCTATATGTATTATTTGGTAGACAAATTCCAACGCACTCGTCAAGTTTGGCAGCGTTTATGTTTGTTGGTTTATTTATTTATGCAAATCGGTATAGTTTTTTATTTCGTTGCCTCGGAAACTAGTTCATTAATGCGGCTATTTCAAAAACCAGTTTTTTAGATAGCCAAATTATGGCAAACCAACTACATTTATTTTTATGAATTTTAGCTATTTGATTCTCGGGTTTGTTTTTTTTTTCAATTTTCTGGATTCACTGTTTTTGTTATAATTTTTATTTTGAATATCACACTTTGTCTATGTGGTCACCAATACATTGGCTTGTCTTCTCGAGTTTTTAGCTTAATTTTGTTGGTCTGGGCTCGTCAAACGTTCTTGACCGATTGATAAAAAAGTGTACAAAGCTCCCCGACAAAGCCAAAAAGCAGAGCGCCAAAAGCTCCACAACCGCTTTTGTTTTGATTGTACAGCTGGAAGAGAGTATATAATACACAGAAAGAAAACAGCTCGACATAAAATCGCACATAATTTCAACGTCAACAAATCAATGTGATTTGAAATGTCCTAGTGAAATTATATAAATGAGTCCCACTGCTTATCAATATATTTTTATGAAAAAGTAATGAAAATTTTCTTTCCGTGTGGGGAGAGCAGCTTTTAAGAGAGCGGCGTCAGCGCATGCCCCCACCATCTCTTCCACTCACACATGTAAACAATGTCTGTTGCTTCTTTCACTTCCACTTTTCCATTTTGGAGGGAGAACGAAGAATGGAAAGAAGAGAGATGGCACATAAAGCTCGAGTACAGTCTGGTTGTTTTGGTTTTTATTATTCTTCTGCTTTTGTATTTGATTATTAAATAAAATCACTTACAAAGCTTTGCCGCCGCCGCTCTCTTTTTCTGCCCCCTTTATTTTCCTCTGTTTTGACGTCACTTTTGTTGTTTACTTCTGATTGTTTTCCCTTTTCTTGCACATTCGCCATTGTTGTTGTTTTCGTTTGGTCTTTTTTATGCAAATTTTTGTTATGAAATTGTCTGGCGCTTTGATTTTGATTTGATTGTATTTTTCGCCAGTGTAAAAATAAACTTGTTTACAGCAATCGAAAAAGTACAAAATACTATAAGTATGTTGCCAATTGTAGAATTAAATAAAATTGCAAGCAATAAAAAAGAAACATACATAAATGCGCGCGCGTTTTTTTTTTCTTGGCTGACGTTGCACTTTTTTGCACCCGATCTTTATTAGTTTGTTTATAGCGAAAACAATCAAGATCCCGAAAGCCAAACATATCAATTCAAGTTTTGAATAGCCTATCATTTTGATTTCTGTGTATATGTATGTTTATATCATTTGCATTTAGCTCTTCCCTTCTTTTTCCTTCTCAGATACAAATATTCAGCTGATGCAATATGCTTTATAAAAGTGTAATGCGATACAAATTTGAGCTTAGCTGGCATAAAAAAGGGAAAAACTGACCCTTTAGCGGATATAAATAAATCAACAGTTCGCTGTATTATCATCTGATTGTTTTATTATTTAATCGAATTTAAAAACTTTCAGATTATTACATTTTTTCTTCTTTTTTAAAACTCATTCAGAAAATCTAACATAATCAACTGCATTTCCTTTTTTACATTCAAGGACCCACACAATTTATTCTGAAAATCTCATCACGAATTTACCAAAACAATGTGGGAAATTGAAAGCACTCAATGAAGATACCAGGCAACAAGAAGAGTCCACAAATTCGATAAAATTAAGTTGTACCCACACATAATGTACAGACGTAGGTTGAGGATACTTACATATGTATATATGTGTGCAGATACATACATACATACCTACAAGCATAATACCAGCCACAAAGGAAAATAACCAATTGACGCAAAGAGTTTTTTGTTGTTTTACCAGTAGCTGCTGTGGCAGCAAATCACGACCATGTCCTTGAATGTGAAATTGCGACACAACGAGCAGAGGGGACACCAAGGATACGTAGGGAACAACAAGGATAACAGCCCGATGCCATGCTCAACAAACCGCCCAACCATCCACAACACCCACGCCGGAAAAACACACATTGAAAATTTATACAGTTGCGGTCAAAACAAAAACATAGAAAGTGCGGAGATCCTGATACCAAGGACTAAATTTAGCTAAGCTGCGTTTCACAACTAAGAGAAGAATATTGTTGCAATATTTTTATGAATTTATTAACTAGTTGGAAGAAGCAATAAATTTCAAATTAATACCAAAAATAATAACTTCACTTAAGTAAAAGCACTTAAAAAGGATTTTATTTAAGGTTGTATTTTAGGAATACATTTTTTTTTCAAGTGAATGTTGACGTTCTAGAGCTATTTGTGTGTCCGCAACTGTTTGTGTTCCTGTCAGAGGGCGTGCTAAATGATTTTCAAGGACGTAGGCGCCGGCTTTCGAGTATTAACAAAATATATCCTGATGCCCGACGCCGCCCACGTAACAGAGTTGTATTAGATGGGTACATAGATATGTATGTAGGTATATACTATATAGGGATGCGTGGGAGTTACGATTCGGGTTTCGTTCGATCGAAGCTCCTTACTTTCACTTTCGCTTTTCCCTTTGCCGAAGTTCAAGGCAGTGCAAAGCTTCGGGAGACCTTGAATAACGGTCGTCGTTTTTTTTTTTTTTTTTTGGCTTTTTATTGTGGGCGTTGTCCTTAGTCGTCGCTTTTTTTAGGGGCGTTTCCCGCAGCCGAAATGTTTATGCAAAGGCGCGAATTTTCCGTTAGCCTCGGGTTTTTTTCTTATTCCGTGCACGTCCCAATGCATAAATAATCCCTACTTAATTAATTAGTTTTTTGGGGCCGCGTATCCCGTTTTTTTTTAGCGAACATCTGGCAACGCCCCGGGCGAGAGCTTTGGTTTAAGCCTTTCCCTAAGCTTCCCCACCCCCAGAAAGGCTTTCCCTGGAATCGCTGTTGTTTTTGTTATGAATGAGCAGAAGCACAACAAAATGCCAACCGCAGACTATCAAGGACACGCAAAAAGTGGGCGAAAAGAGAGGATTGAAGCGATGGAGAGACAGGATTCATCCTTGCGGACCCGATTTCTGCGTCGTAATTTTCCAACAGAGCAGGGGGATGGGGGATGGGGGGTGGAGCGCCACCCGGAAAAACCACCACCACCACCAACCAGGGTTTTTCTTTTATTTTCATCGTGGGGGCTAGCCGGCGAGTGTGTGTACACAAAGCTTGTTGGTCTATACACTGATGCAGTCCTTCCAGATCTCCTCCCCCCTCGTTCATCGGAGAAGTTGTTGTGACGCGTATCGATTTGTTTATGTTTATCAAATGGAAATTGGCACAAGGGGCGCCGCCAGTCGAGGCACCTCATTTCGAGGGCCAAATAACAATGGCAAATTTTCTTTTTCTTCACTCTTCGTTATCCCAATTATGTGTGGGTGTTAATACTCGTATGTATGTATGTTTTTATTTTTGTTTTGGACACCCCCAAAAATTTTCCAATTCGCATTTCCTTTCTAGGTGACGATGAGGGTGGTGGCGGCGTAAATTAGTAATTCCCACTAATTTGATGGGCTGTTCAGACAAAGGGATTCGAATTTCGCAAAATTCCAGAAAACTTCTGATAAGAATGGTATCGAATTATTACCAATTACAATTATTACAAATGGACAATATAAAGAACAGGCAAATAAATTGGTTGATTAAAACAATTGAATATGTTCTGAACACATTAATTAGCTTTTTCCTACGAAAAGTTTGAGAACTTGTTAACAAAAACCCTTTTTTAAAATGGTCTGTTTATTTTAAGTACTTCATTAGATCTAGTTTTAAGTGTTTATTTCAAAGGAAAAATCATTAATTGAATGATAAATAGAGAATAAATCGTATTTAACCGGAAATCGTTCCAGTTTGTTAAACGTGATTTCACCAGACTGTCCAGATTTTTGATGAGCTATATCCCTCAGCACGCTTAAGCAGAACGCTCGTGTTCACATGCGCTCTACATGTGATAGAAACATTTAGCAATTTGCCAGCTTGTATAAACAATTTTTTTCCTCATTTTCTTTCAGCCTTTTTCTTTTTTTTTTTCATTTATTTTTTTTGCTGATTTGCAAGCTTTACGTTCATTGGCCCCAACAGCAACAACAAAATGTGAAAAGAACTGATAAAATATAATAACAAAAATATACACCAAAATAAGACTGACAACGCTTGCGGCAACTAAGCATTTTTTTTGTTGGTTGAATACTAGAGACCCGACCATTGACTCTCTTTTTCCCAAAGACCAACTCAAGTCAAGTTCAGGGCCAATCGGTTAGTCTTTACTTATTTATTGTGTTTTTTTCGCCTTTTATTCTTCTTTTGGCGAAAACGCATGGTTAGACATAGTCATTATCTAATAACGCACGTCACCGTGGGGAAAAAATATAAATAAAACTTGGACAAAGCTCAAGTCTAAATATAATCAATTGGAGAAATTGAAATGTCCATGAAATAAGATTAATTTAATTTGTAAAATTCGCGGCCTTGTAGGATTATAAATCCACACAGCAAAATATCAGAATATTATACAATAAAACTTACCTCTCTAATTACTTTAGCGATTTTCCAAAATGTAATTTACTGAATGCCAACCTGAAAATGGAAACAAAGAACAGAAATTGAAATATCAAAGCAAAATATAATTTACAATTATACGTTTAAAGTACAAAGTGCAAAATGAGTTAAACGGACTAATGGAGAACATAAATGTGGGCGAAACGAACAAAATATTTAGTTTTTGTAGATGAATAAATTTTCATAGCTCGGTTCATTGATTGCAGACGACGTCGCCGATAGCCACTATATACTATATACATATATTATTCGTACATATAGATGCAGGCTATATGTTTGACAATGCGGAAGTTGTTGAAATTATAACAAATCCAAAGCGAAACAAAGAGAACTGCAGACAGGCGGCAGATATAAAATTGTTGCACTCTGTCTGTCGAGTGCAAGTATTTGCAGTTTAGCAACAAGGCGGCGCGAAATGGATCGTGTCTGTGTATATAGCCAGAGATATACCATATAAATTGCCGTCTGCTATCTGCCAGGCGCAATTAATGGATACACTTTGACTACTGACAAGGTTAAAGGCGGCAGAGATACGGACAGAGATTCACTCCATTTCCACACCGCTTCAATAAAGGATTATCTGCACGGTTTTTGTGTGTGATCATTAACGTTAAACAATAATAGCCCCTTTATTGATATTTAAGCCAATATGGGAATCGCTTCACTTCCGGTTACATTTTCCAGGAATAATTTTCTTCTTTTAATGTGAATCTCATTAATGGTATAAAATTGCAGTTTATTTTCTATTTTTTGGTCGAGGTTTTTTCATTTTTTATAACCCCCTCCTTTCAAAATTTCCAAGTTATGGATTTTTAGAAAAGTGACTTTTCTAATTTTTATCTGATTTAAAAGATATGTATCTCTATGAATTTGTTATTGAAAAATCTAAAAACTGCATCATAAGTTTATTAGATTTCACCATATTCCAGCCCTTCTAACCCCTTTACTTTTCTAATTTGTATCAGTTTTAGTGGATTTTTTTCGGTGCACTTACTTGTGAAATAAAAACGGAATTCCAATAAAAACACGTC